CAAAATTTGAAAAAAGAGTGCGCATTTTCCTTACGTGCGCACGAGAAAAGAGTGCGCACAGCGCGCACTTTCCAGCATGCCGAAAAATATAAACGAAAAAACAATCAGAAAAAAGAAAAAACCAAAAAATGTGAGGTTAGGCGTAAAGTAAAATGTGTTGGTCGTAGACTGTCTGGTGAGTGCGTCTTCTCCGGCTACAGTAATCCAAAAATTTGAAAAAAATATTTTTTTCTCACTTAATTTCGTTCGAAATAAAAGTTTAGTGCGTTATATGATGATTTGAAGGTTATGAAAAAAAGATTTATTTTTTTGCAAACTTTCACCAAAAAAATGCAACTTTTATGGGGCGTTTCTTGAAAAAATCTCATAGTTTGAAATTTTTCTCAATTTACGGAGAACTTGTACAGTTAGTTAAAATCAAATCAACTACAGAACATATTTTTTCAAATTCAAGTATTTTCAAAAACCAGATCTTTAAATTTCGAGAACTCAGCACAAACAATATTTAGCTTATAAAAATAAAAATATTTAGTTACTCCCGATGTTTCTACCTGAAAAACCGTTTCTTTCGTTTGCCGATAGGTTTCGCAAAAACATCACCTTTACTACGACAACCATCAAAAACCAAGCAATAAACAAATAAATACTTTATTCTCACTTTTTGGATTATTTGAACAAACGGTAAACATTTTTCAGGTGAAAGAGGAGGGGCGAGTACTTCCGCTTAAGATGAAGCTTTGAGGCGGACGTACAAGGGCCGCGCAAACACCAAAAACGCTACCGCCCAGAATTTCGCTTAGTTTTCTGATTTGGCTTCTCGAAAGTGCGGTTGTTTACAATACTTGTTGTATTTTTTCACCTCATTCATCTGTCTTAAGTTATTCCTGTTACTTTACGGTTTTCATAGAAAATGGTCAGAAATTTCATTATTTTTCACAATTTTCCACTAAATCTCGATCTTTACAAATGCCTTGGCAACCTCAAAGTCAAAGAAAACTTTCAAAATCATTAAAATATGAATTTTTAAAGCTACGAACCTTTTTTTCTTTGGACTAAAAAGTGTGGAGGCTGACATTTTGTAACATTTCAATCAGCTCATATTTTCTGGTACATTTCCTGGGCAGTTTTTATGAAACTTGCATTTTTACCTATTTTCATTTGTATATGTTGCTTTTCAGTACAGTCCCTGTTCAACACTAAGAATCATAAAATTCCTGAATTTCTTTCTAAATTAAGCTCGTTTGCTTGATAAAGCTTCTTGATATTCTATTTTTCAAAATATCCATTCTTTTCATTTCTTTTACCGTTCATTATCTAGTACCATCATCAACTTTTAAACTTTCTTCTTCTGAAAAATCGTCTCGAAATAAGAAGATGTTTTTGGGCCTTGACTTATCCAAACTGAAATTTGAAAAAATCTTCCTTTCTTCTTATTCATACCTTATCTTATCTTTCTTAATAAATAAATAAGTTTCAAATAGCCCCGTCTTTCAAATGTCGCTACAAATTTAAAACTCCTATTCAACCTTTTTTTTCTGCTTCTTTTCATTATTGAGACTAAAAATTTCTTTTTTCGACGAAACATCGAAACATTGACTAAGACATTGGTAACGCAAAACAAACGAGCTCCTGACGTTTCTGTGCATTTCTAGTGACCATTTTAGGAATTTCAGAACTCTTAAATGATCCCTAGGATCGCCCAGAAACATCCAGAACACGTCGGTTTCGCGTCACCAATGTCCGAGGAGGTCGAAAAATTCAGGGAACTCTTAGAATTCAATTTTTCTTAGTCCTTCTGAAAATTTTTCAAGGCTTTCGAAAGCGAGTTAGTGAAAAAAAAATCAAGGCGAAAATTCTCTGAAAGTGAACTTTCCAAAATCAAAAGTTCATTCGATTCAACTTCTACCTTATTTTTCTGGAAAAAAGCCCAAATTTGGTTGTGTTTTGTTTTTGTTGTCGTGTTTTGTGGCGGTGCAGGTGTTTCAATGAACCAACAACGTGGTTTCCAGTTTATTCCTATCATTTTTCTCTTCTTTTCACGTTTTTTTTTGGTTTCGAAATGAACTCTATCCAAAAAAAACCACGTCATCTTTTGAACTGTATAAAACTTCAATGATTATGTTGCTTCAGAGGTGTTGAAAGTAGAGTTTGAGAGAGAAAAAAAGTTGAATATTTTGAAGATGAAGTGGCGCCAATTTTTAAAAATTCAAATAAGCTTCGGGATGATCTCATGATTTGCTGGTAACTTTCCTCAATTTACTTAGAAAGCCTGGGAAAATTAAAAACTTGTCTAAGGGAAAGTTTTCCTTTTAAAAAGTCCAGAATAGCCGATTCCTTGATGATCCATGAGCGAAAAATTTTAAAAACGACCAGAAAAAGATATGGAATCATTTCCAATGGTACCTCTAAGATTAGTAAAGCTTCAAATATCTAAAAAAAGTCTTCTCAAATTTTTCAGAATAAAATATTCCTTGGTTTTTTTTTTCTGGGATTTATCGAATATTTTTTTCTGAATAAAAGATTTTTCTGGAACTTTTCGGAATAAAATATTCCTTGGTTAGTAATTCTTCTGGGATTTATTAAACATGCGTTTTGTAAAAATCTACTCGTCCTAATTCAAAACCCCCTAATCGCACGTGGAAAGGCTTAATAAGAAGCGACTGACGAGCCTATGATTCAAAGGTGCATCCGACTTGAAACGACTTGCGTCAAGAAAGGACCCGAATAAGCTTCGAAACATTCCAAATGTGACCCCAAAAGCTTCAAGTGTTCCTTAAAGTGCTAGTGCGATTTTTTTCAAATTTTCCTAACCATTTTTCTACTCCTAAACCTCAAATCTCTCCATTAAAACCAAAAATTTCAAAACCCGGAAACTTCAAAGTAAGATTCCAACCATTGAATATGACTCATATTTGTCTGGGGTTCAAATTTCTTACACTTTAACTTTTTTCCCTTCAATCTCAAATTTCGCAAAACATCGTGCCGTGTCTCCCACGATCAGCGTGGGAAAAAGGTGAAAGTTTTCGGGGGCGGAGCTTCCGGTCAACAAGGGGGCGGAGCATTTGGAAAAGATAAAAAACGGTTGGCAAACATCCCGGGTGTTCACGTACGTGGAAAGAGCATCATTGCACCCTTGGAATGTTTTTCTTTCCCAGTTTTTTTTTTTCAAGATCAACTTTTTTGTAACCTCATGACGTTGTGAGAATTTTTTTATTGCTCATTTTAATGAGAGAAAAATCACTTTTTATTTTTAAATACCCGCTCTAACGACAGATTCTCTCAATTTTTCCCATTTTAAAGAGAAAATTTCAATTTTCGATTAACTTTTACATTTTTTCTGATGACGTGATTACATCTCATATGACCACATTGCTCATGTTAGGATGCTAGAGTGAAGATCCCCCTAGTAACATGAGCAATAAGCTTTTCCTCTCTTTTAAAACTCCAGTCCGAAATGAAACAACCTTTAAAAAATTCATAATCATTGTCATCGCTGACTTCTTTCTCAGTGACGTCATGGAGCTCAGAGCGCCCTATTGCTCATGTTAGAAATCTATGGTAGAGTTTAGCCCTTTAACATGAGCAATGTGTCAATTTGAAGCTATTTCTTCATTGGAGAGCTTCTGAAAGCTCGATAAAAAAAACTTGGAAATTCTAGGGCCTCCTATTCTTCGTATTGCTCATGTTAGACATTTCCAAAACTCAAATTTCCGTAATAACGACCCGCTGAAAACCATCAATTACGATCTTTGACTCTTTCCCCCTTATGACGTCGTTTCCGGTGAGCTACTGTAGTCTTCCGGAGAAACTGGCCGTCAAATAAAAGTCCGGACTATTTGCCTTTTTTGGAGCGCGGTGCGTGCCGTGTTAGTCAGCCCCCCGGCTCACTTCATTGAGCAAATACCTTTTACGGAAAGCAAAAAAAAAAAATCTTAGGTCTTAGGGGCCCTAAAGGAAGCATTTTGACTTCCTTGTGAAGTTGAAAAATCCGAGGCACTTCCAAAAAAACTTGGAGCCCTAGCGCAATGGATAAAGCTCTCAACTCCTAGTCAATAGGTCTCTGGTTCGACCCCCGGCGGAGCTGCTAAAAATCATTCCCACCGGAAAACTTTCTATTTTGTTCTATTGAAAGGGTAATCCAAAGATTAGAGTGATTTTTTCTCCCGCCGGGGTGAGGATTAAGGCCCTCTGTGGTCGGCAAAAAATCATCTTTTTTTCAGAGGCGTTCTTTTTTAAATTTAAACAATATAGTACTGGCCATAAAGGTATTTCAAAGTGGTTATTCGAGCATAACTTCTCTGAAAGTGGCTCAAATGACTTGAAACTTCGCACAGATTTCAAATAGCTACGCAGTAACTCTTTACCAAGAGGAGAGCTCATTTGCTCGAGTCAGACCGGATTTGAAAGCAAAAAACTAAAAATCGTGGAAATGAACATTTTTCTCTTGAGATTCGAAAAATCATATCTTCGAAGAAACTTCGATTTTGAATCAGAAACTTTTTTGCCCGGTAAAACAAGTCTTGGACTTTCCAAAAAACCTAATCAGCCCCTTACAAACCCGACAGTAAGAGCGTAGTGACTTTTTCTTCGGAAGGCCTGTATATCTTTGAAAAAAAGAATATGATCAAAATCTTGAGAAGCTTACCAGTTTGGTTAGAAAATCTGGAAAACGTCTGATGTCTTGTCCACAAAAAAATCTCAAATTCTTCATTTTTCTCCAAGTTTCCCACCTTTCTTGCCACTCCCAAACTTCAATTTATCCTTTCATAAAGGCCAAATTATCGCAGGAACCTTCTATTTCCAGTTTTCAGAACCAAAAAGTTCATTTTCAGATCTCATATCTATAAAATGTTTTCATGGCTCTCTTCATTTCTACTTCTCAACACAATTTTTCAAGTCAGCGCTAATTTTAAGGTAAATTCATGATGCGGTCGCATTTGGAATGGCTCGAAACTCCCGGGCACTTTTAAAAATCCATCCTAGCCATTCCAAATGCGGCCATGAAAAAAAAAATTCAGGCAATCTGGGGCGTACCCTCCTGGACATGTACAGGTAATCACAGCGTCAATGTCAGCAAATATGGAATTTCAGAAAATTCTGGTAAAATCCTCTTTTTTTGCTGAAAATTTCTCCTTTTTCAGATCAAAGTTACGTCGGGGGGACTGAATTTGTGATTTTCTACGAGTCCACTTTTGGTGCCGTTCCATATTTTCAGAAATATAACACTTCGAGGCCTTTGAATGGAGGATTACCTCAGGTAAGAGAAAAAGGAAATCGGGTTGATGGAAGTTTTGGCAGCACTTTTCACTTTGGGGTTAGGAATTTCTTAAAAATTGGTCAGCAGACTTCTCGATGTACCTGATGAAGATTCTGAAAGTTCCAATCTGCACAGCCTTCTAGTTTCCGAGAAATAAGGGCTCACAGCTCCCCACAAAGCTAATTTTAAAGATTTTGAATTTTTTCTTCAATTTTGAGGTGACCTTTCTTTAGAACTAGAAAGTTATACTAGTTGAAACTTTTGAAATCTTTTTCTGGTTAAAGGCATAAAGGCAGTAAGAAATGGGGTTTCAGGGGAAATCAGTATCTTATATTCCTTATAAATAGAAACTTTTAAGGACGAAAAGAATTTTAGTGACAATAGAAAAAATTGAGATTTGAAAGAAACGAAGAAAAAAGCGAAAATCCGGAAGATGGCGAAGCCTGTTGTCCATAGAGCAACTTTGCTGCAAAGCGCCCTTTTCGCGGGAACTCAAGCTTTCCTCTTTCCGACTTTGAATTATTTTTTTTCCAAAACTAGGAACCTCTGTACGTTTCCAAGTTTACCGTTCGATTCGCAAAGAAAAGCTCTACAAAGTACTTTCATGAACTGAAACACCGTTTTTTACTGCTCCCATGCCTTTAATCAATGAGCGTTATGACCGACTTTCAAAAAAATTCCCAGCCGCAAATCAAAATTAACTTCCAGATGAGCTTCTCTCAAATCCAAATGAAGCGTTCAAAGTCTCATACGTTAAATTTCCTGAAATTAGGAAGTTTTCTCGATTTTGGAAGATCCTTAAAGTCAAGTTTACTCTTAATTATACAATCTTTCAAAAAAAACCATTTCACAGTCCTTTGGACTTGACAACAGCTAGAAGTAAAGCTTCTCGTAAATTTATTAAAGACTGTTAAACTTTTGGCGGTTTTTAAAAACTCTTGGCATATGTTCCGATATGGTAGTACCTAAGCTTTTACTTACAAGGAGACATTTTTTGCCCCCGGTCTAACTTATGATGAAACTTTATCGTATTTTACTTCAGGACTTCAGAAAAAGAAAAATATTTATTGAAATAGACCTTGTTTCCGAGTTAGGAAGCTTAAAACCTCTCTAATAATGCTTTCTTCTATTAATTGTGTAATCTGCAAATTTTAAAGGTCTATTAATCGAAAAATAATTTATTGCGAGAAACTTCACTCTTGCTCTGAAATTAGGAGGTCATAAAATGCCTTGCAGTCCGTTTTTTGTTAAAAATTCAACCGGAGGCCAAAAAACCTTCCCTTGCTAGAGCTTTTCAAAAAGCGCCTGAGAATCTGGCTTTTCGTAATTTTTAAACAACCAAAAAATTAGAAGTATTTCCCCATTGAACTTCATGAGAACAACATAAACGTAGTTGTTATTTTAGTTTCAAAATTATTCGAAGTTTTTTTTTCTGAACAGTCCACTCCGAACGATTCCGAAAAGATTAGCGGATTCCAGCACCCACGCAGCGCTTCTTTTTTTCTCCTTCTTCTTGCCATTTTCAAGTGGCACGGTGGTGTATCACTTGGTCTTCCGAGTGGTTATCCAAAGCGTTAACGAGCCCTTCCCCGTTCGTGCAAATATTTGGGAGAAGCCTAGACAACAGAAAAAGAGGATAGAAACGGCTTGTAGAAATGATGAGGTGTAGAGGAATGTTCGGCAAGGGTCAGTAGATCAGTTTTTTTTTTTTTTCGGTCACTATGAAAAAAATATGCCGAGTCAATTCTTCTCACTAGGTCTTATTGAAAAGTCCTAATATGGACTGAGAAAATTCCCTAGTCCGTAAAAAATCCGAATCCGTGAAATCTTCACAAGGCATTCCACGTGAATGTGCGCTCCATTGATAAAAAAGCTCGAAGTTCACAAAATATTCAAGAATCTTAGGAATTCCAGAATGGTCCCTATAGGGGTTAGGGGCCGACAAAGTGGTCCCTATAGTGGTCGAAAAAGTGGTCCCTATAGAGGCCGAAAAAGTAGTATATCCTTATAGGTGTTTAGGGCCTGAACCCTTAGCCCCTTAAGTGGCCCCTATAAGGGACTTTAAAAAAAGGTTATTTGTTCAGTTTTTCGCATGAAAATGCTTCTTCGCCTAGAGTTCACAAAAATTATCGACTAGTATGTCCCCTATAGGGGCCACTTTTTCAAGCTTCAGTGGCCCCTATAGGAGTAAAGTTGTCCCTAGAGTGGACCTCCCAAAGGCCCTGAGGTTGCCCCTATAGGGACCACTCTGGAGTTCCTAAGCACTTTTTTTAGAGATTATTTTTTTTCGAAAGTACTGAATAAAAATAAATTATCAGAATTGGTTCTTATTCAAAACGTCAGTAAAAAACTGAAAAAAAATTTTTTTTGACCTTCCGATAATTACCATGAAGTTGCTGTAGTGGTCCCTATAGGTATTGATGAAGTCGTCCCTAGAGGGGACCCCCTTAAGTTGCTCCTATAGGACCACTCTGAAAAAAGTCCTTTTTCTAATTTTTTTTTTCAAATCCATGATTCCCATTTTTCTATGATTAAGAGCTCTGTAGAGCCCGAAAATCCCAAATTTTTTTTCGAAAATTTTTTTTTCAGCTAGCAGATCTGAACTTGCACCTCTGGCTAGCGGCTCAGGACATTGTCGCCAAAATTCCGGACGAAAACTACGCCGGCGTCGCCGTCATCGACATTGAAGAGTGGCGGCCACTCTACAAACTCAATTGGGGTGATAAAAAGGTAAATTCTGATTCTCCTTCCAAAAATCACGTCATCAAAAAACATAAACGAAAAGTTTCCCAGTTTTGAAAACAATGATTTTTAGTTTCTTATGCTGTTAATGGGCCTAGAAATGAGAAACTTTGAGGCGGAAAACCAATAAAAAACTGGAAGAGAACGAAAACAATGATTTTCTGTTTTCCTTTCAACTCACTCATGGAAAAGTGCATGGAAATCTAAGGGAGAATCGAGATTTTTTGATGATTTGATTATAGAATACTTAACCTTCAAAAAAACTAAAAAAAAATCTTTTGGCCATTATTTCAATCTACTCATCGAGAAAAGGCTAAAGTTCAAGTTCAAAGGGACCAAAATAACCTCATGACGTTGTGAGAACTTTTATTGCTCATTTTAGTAAGAGAAAAGTTACTTTTTATTTTTAAAGACCCGCTCTAACAAAAGATTATCTCAATTTTGATCATTTTTAAGAGAAATTTTCGATTTTCGATCCACTTTTTACATTTTTTCTGAGGACGTGATCACACCTCATATGACCACATTGCTCATGTTAGGATGATAGAGTGAAGATCCTCCTAGTAACATGAGCAATGAGCTTTTCCCCTCCCTTTTTTAAAACTCCAGTCCAAAAAAAAGCTACCTTCAAAAAGTTTTTTTTTCGAAATTCTTATCATCGTTGACTTCCTTCTGAATGACGTCATGGAGCTCAGAGCGCCCTATTGCTCATATTAGAAATACAGTGCAAAGTTTCGCCCATTAACATAAGCAATGTTTCAATTTGAAGCTCTTTCTCTAACTGTAAAATAAAAAACTACACAGTAGGATAAGAACAAAACCCCAAAAAATACAAATTTTTCCGAGAGAAAAAAATCTCCCCTAGTTCATTCCCTATTTAATTTTCAGGTTTATCAACAAGAATCGATGCGATTGGTGCAACAGCAGCATCCGGGCTGGCCCGACAATTTGATCAAACAGCGAGCCGAGAAGGAGTTCGACAGGGCAGCCAGGTGATTTTCATACTTATTTGGGAAAAATTGAGATTTCCCTGAGAAAAAATGATGAAAATCAGAAAATTCGCGCCTAATCTTATCAAACTAGATACTTTCTTGGATTTCAGCATATTCCAAAAAAAAAAAAAGCTCCTAGATCAGTCTGGGAAAATGTTTAGTGGCCACTTTAGGGTTTTGACGTTTTAGTGGACACTTTGGTATCCTTGAGGAGCCTCTTAAGTGGTCACTAAAGATTTTCCCAGTGGTGCAAAAATTAAGGATCCTAGAAAAAAATTATTATTTTCGCATCATTCGAGACTATCTTGGATCTTAGCATATTCCAAAAAAAAGGTCCTAGATCAGTCTGGGACAATTTTCAGTGGCCGCTCTAGGGTTTTGACGTTTTAGTGGACACTTTAGTATCCTTGAGGAACCTCTTAAGTGGTCACTAAAGATTTTCCCAGTAGTGCAAAATTTTCAGATTCTATGAGGAACATTCTCAACTTATTCGTTTCAATGAATTTATAAATTTTCAACTTTTTCAGTTTCTATCAACTTTTTCGTTCTTTCAAACCTCAAAAACCCCAAATTATCAATGGAGCAACATTGCTAAACACTAAAAAACGGCCATTTTTGCAGAGAGTTCTTTCTTGAAACGCTCCGATTGGGAAAAAAGCTACGACCCTTGGCGAAATGGGGCTACTATCTGTTCCCGATGTGCAATGGCAACATTCAGAAGTCGGGCGTCGGCGCTTGCAACAGAGCTTTTCAAAAATACAATGACGAGTGGGTTTTTTTTTTGACAATATTAGTGGTTAAAAAAGTTTTCAGAAATATAGATTTCTTTATAATCCATCTCATGAATTTTTGTATTCGATATAATTTTCATCGATAAACTACAAAAAAGGTTCAGAACTGCACTATACTGTTTCAAAAGCAAAAAGCACTTTTTTAAACTGTTTAATTTTCCACTTGATCATTTGTTCAACAAAACCATGTTCTTCAAGATTTTCGAAAAAAAGGAACTTCCATCCTTCTTCTAACTCTTTTTTCCGCTTTTTTCAAAAATCCTCGAAAATCGCTTGGAAAAAAGCTAGTGGTCACTCAAGGGGTTCCACAAAGTCTACTTGGAGAGGTCACTAAAGTGGCCATTCAAATCACCTTTATAAAAACGAATATTATGCGTCTGAGTGGTCACTACAGTAGTATGAAGTGATCTAACACGACCACTTATACTTGGCCACTGATTTGACCCCTACAATGACCACTAAATCGTCAAAACCCTAAAGTCTCCACTAAACATCTTCAGACTCCTCTACCTGTACCGCGAATCAACCGCCCTATTCCCATCAATCTACTACTATAATCAGACCAACTCTTCGGAAAACTTTTGGAACACGGCGGTTCGTTTCGGAATCGATAATTGGAAGCTATATGAATCTACTTTTGATTATCACCTGAACAAAGTTCAAAAAAAACGACATTTACGAATGAAACCTGGACCGTTTTTGATTCAAAAAAGCTCAAAAAAGGTCCAAAAAAGACCGATTTTCAGGCTGTGATCGATGAAACCAACCGTATGGCTTCATCAATCTACCCAAGGCCGTCGGTTCTGGTTTTCACAAAATTCGAGTATAATCCCTACGATGACTGGACCAGCTTCTACTCACCGGTGGGTTTTTTTGAGAAAAAAAATCTTTGTAAACCTGAAAAAAAAGTCATAAATTGGAAAAATTGGAAGGGAAGCGACTCAATATAGCACTTACGTCAAGTTGCGCCCGACCCAAAACGACTTGCGCGTTAAGATCAAAAAAAACTCAGCAGACCTGGACAAAGGATAACCTGATTCAAATTTCTTAGCCAAAAAGAATAATCCAACTTTTCTTTCAAAATAATCCAACTTTTCTTTCAAAAAACTTTTCAAAAATCGCACATGAAACAACTCAACACAGCCGTTACTACGAGTTGCGCCGGACCCAAAACTACTTGCGCTGGGCCATCGAAAAATATTAGATCTTTTCCAATCCTTGAGTTGGGCCATTCGTTCCTTTGAAATAAACAAAAAACAAATTTATTCGTAAAATTTCAATAAAAATTACTCAATACAACAGTTGCGCCGGACCCAAAACGACTTGCGCGTTAAGGCATATTAAAAATCATGGAACCTGGACAAAGACTGAGCTTCTTAGAAACGAGAAGTTCTGAGCCGAAAAGAAAAATCCAGAAAAAAACTTTCCAAAACGCACATGAAACAACTCAACACAGCCGTTTCTACGAGTTGCACCGGACTTAAAACGACTTGCGCGCTGAGCCATCGGAAAGCATTATATCTTATTCAATCCTCGTGTTAACCCATTCCAAATGCGACCTTGAAAAGATCAAAATTTCCAGGAAGACCTGGCCAACTCCATCGCGACGCCAATGCAAATGTCGGTGGATGGGCTCATTTTTTGGAGCACTTCCAAGAAAATGAAGCAACGCTGTGAAGGCGTCGCGCAGTTCGTCGAGAAATACCTCGGACCGTGAGTCAAGTGGCTAAGAGACTTGAGAATAGTTGAGAGGGTGCGGGGTTCGGTTCCTGCCGAGGTTTTCGCAGTATATCCACTAATTCTCCTTTCAAGAAAAGCTTAGGAATGGTCCGTAGATCGGAAGGTTACAGGTTCAATTCCTCTAGGCGTTTTGCAAATTTTTTTTAAGGGCCTGTAACCCAAAAAGTCGAGATTACTACTGAAAAGGTCCCAGGTTCGACTCCCCTGAGCGTTCTTGTTAATTTTCCAAAGACAAAAGAGCTTCAAAATCGGCGTTTTTGCAAACTTTTTTAATGACCTGAAAGCCGAGATTATTACTAAAAGGGTCACAGGTTCGACTCCTCTCCACGTTTTTGCTATTTTTCATCGGAAAACTCCAAAATGGTCCCTAGAACTTTAGCCTACTCGAAAGGTTACAGGTTCAATTCCTCTAGGCGTTTTTGCAAATTTTTTTTTAAGGGCCTGTAACCCAAGAAGTCGAGATTACTACTGAAAAGGTCCCAGGTTCGACTCCCCTGAGCGTTTTTGTTATTTTTCCAAAGACGAAAGAGCTTCAAAATAGGCGTTTTTGCAATTTTTTTTTAATGACCTGTAAGCCGAGATTACTACTGAAAAGGTCACAGGTTCGACTCCTCTCAACGTTTTTGCTATTTTTCATCGGAAAGCTCCAAAATTATCCCTAGAAGTTCAACCTACTCGAAAGAGTACAGGTTCAACTCCTCTAAGCTATTTTCTTATCCCCTACCCCTCCCCCAAAATATCCGAGTGAAGCCTCTAAAAGTCTAATTACTATCCAAAAAAACCACAGGCTAGGATTTTTGAGCGATTTTTATGAAAAAGCTCAATAAAGCTCCTAAAAAACCTTCATTCAATTAAAAAAAAGTCACAGAAAACCCGAAAAATTCCAATTTTCCAGAAAATTCGCTGAAACCAGCGTCGCCCTGAGCAATTGCGGCGTTCGTTTATGCTCGGGACGTGGAATTTGTTTTTTGAAGAAGGCAAGACCGTGAGTTTTCATTTATTCCGATGGTATTTTCTTTGAAAAATCGGAAAATTGGACCTTGAACTGAGAAAATGTTGATAAAAAAGGATCACAGAACGCAAAATTTCCGACTTCTTGTTCAAATTTTGAAAAAAAAAACTTTATTTTTACACTCGGACATTGGTAAAAAGAACCGGCCATGTCTGAGTACTCCTAGGGATCACTTGAGAGTTCTGACGCCCCTAAAGTGGTCACTAGAAAGGCAAAGGCACCTCCGGCTCACGTTACCAACTTCTGAGCGATTCTAGGGATCACTTGAGAGTCCAGACACCCCTTAAGTGGTCACTAAAAATGCCCCGACCAGCCCGATTCATGTTACAAATTTCTGAGCAATTCTAGGGATCACTTGAGAGTTCTGACGCCCCTAAAGTGGTCACTAGAAAGGCAAAGGCACCTCCGGCTCACGTTACCAACTTCTGAGCGATTCTAGGGATCACTTCAGAGTCCAGACACCCCTTAAGTGGTCACTAAAAATGCCCCGACCAGCCCGATTCATGTTACAAATTTCTGAGCAATTCCAGGGATCACTTTAGAGTTCTGACACCCCTTTAATGGTCACTAGAAATGCTAAGACACGTTCGGTTCACGTTACCAACTTCTGAGCAATTTTAGGGATCACTTAAGAGTTCTGAAATCTCTTAAGTAGTCCCTAGAAACGCCCCGACTAGCCCGATTCACATTGCCAGTTTCTAAGCAATCGTAGGGATCACTTAAGAGTTCTGACGCCCCTAAAGTGGTCACTAAAAATGGCCTGACGCGTCCGGATCGTGTTAGCGATTTCTGAGCGATTCTAGGGATCACTTAAGAGTTCTGACGCCCCTAAAGTGGTCACTAAAAATGCTCCGACAAGCCCGATTCACGTTCCAACTTCTGAGCGTTTCTAGAGATCACTTAAGAGTTCTGACGCCCCTAAAGTGGTCCCTAGAAATGGCCTGACGCGTCCGGATCGTGTTAGCGATTTCTGAGCGATTCTAGGGATCACTTAAGAGTTCTGACGCCCCTAAAGTGGTCACTAAAAATGCTCCGACAAGCCCGATTCACGTTCCAACTTCTGAGCGTTTCTAGAGATCACTTAAGAGTTCTGACGCCCCTAAAGTGGTCCCTAGAAATGGCCTGACGCGTCCGGATCGTGTTAGCGATTTCTGAGCGATTCTAGGGATCACTTAAGAGTTCGGACGCCCCTAAAGTGGTCACTAGAAATGCCCCGACCAGCCCGATTCATGTTACAAATTTCTGAGCAATTCCAGGGATCACTTTAGAGTTCTGACACCCCTTTAATGGTCACTAGAAATGCTAAGACACGTTCGGTTCACGTTACCAACTTCTGAGCAATTTTAGGGATCACTTAAGAGTTCTGAAATCTCTTAAGTAGTCCCTAGAAACGCCCCGACTAGCCCGATTCACATTGCCAGTTTCTAAGCAATCGTAGGGATCACTTAAGAGTTCTGACGCCCCTAAAGTGGTCACTAAAAATGCTCCGACAAGCCCGATTCACGTTCCAACTTCTGAGCGTTTCTAGAGATCACTTAAGAGTTCTGACGCCCCTAAAGTGGTCCCTAGAAATGGCCTGACGCGTCCGGATCGTGTTAGCGATTTCTGAGCGATTCTAGGGATCACTTAAGAGTTCTGACGCCCCTAAAGTGGTCACTAAAAATGCTCCGACAAGCCCGATTCACGTTCCAACTTCTGAGCGTTTCTAGAGATCACTTAAGAGTTCTGACGCCCCTAAAGTGGTCCCTAGAAATGGCCTGACGCGTCCGGATCGTGTTAGCGATTTCTGAGCGATTCTAGGGATCACTTAAGAGTTCGGACGCCCCTAAAGTGGTCACTAAAAATGCCCCGACCAGCCCGATTCATGTTACAAATTTCTGAGCAATTCTAGGGATCACTTTAGAGTTCGGACGCCCCTAAAGTGGTCACTAGAAATGCCCTGACCATGCTCGATTTTCGTTACCAACTTCTGAGCGATTCTAGGGATCACTTTAGAGTTCTGACGCCCCTAAAGTGGTCACTAAAAATGCCCCGACCAGCCCGATTCATGTTACAAATTTCAGAGCAATTCTAGGGATCACTTTAGAGTTTTGACGACCCTAAAGTGGTCACTAGAAATGCTAAGGCACATTCGCGTTACCAACGCCCAATCAGTTTTTAATTCAAAAATGGTTGTCCATGGAGCAAACTTGCCTCGCTCTATTTTAAAAATTATTTTCTACAGTACCCCATCGGTGGAGGACTTCTCCTGCGACTGCAACAAGCCCTACTACGGTGACCATTGCGAGTACGAGGCGACCCAAAGAGGCCTACCGTACCCCTTCGACTACGGTACCACCTACAATCTTCCCTACTATTCTGAATACGTCGGAAACGACATTGTTGATTGAAAACCATGTTACTGTACATTTTTCCTGTAATTTGCCATCTTGTCAATCCTTTCTAGTCATTCTCCTTCTACGGGACCTCTACTCTCGATTTTCCTCTTCTATACTTTAATTTTCCAGTTTACGGGTGCGGTTTTTTTCTTTTCTTAATAATTATGGGTCAAGCTTTCTTGTCAATCTTCTCATTTAGAAATAAATATATCTTCGGAATATTTTTTAGATTCCAAGTCATCAAAACAGAGGCTGCAATAAGAAACAAGCCACAGAAAAACAGCTGGAAAATGAAAAAATGAAAAAATTCAACTTCATCTTGAACTAAAGGTTTCAAAAAATCTACAGAAATTGCGCAAATTTCACGTTTTCAATCAAATAAATTCAAAAAAAGTGACCAATATCTGTAACTTCATTTCTTTCGAAGGCTATCCAACGACTCGCGGTTCCCTGGAGGTTTCTTTTTGCTCATAAAAAAACCCCTTTCATCAAATTTTCAAAAAAGTACTTCTATGAGGGTCGGGACATGTAGGAAAATTAGGATTCGCTCCAAAATAGTTCATTTTTGAGTTTACAAGGAAGATTATTATTTTTTGTGGTTGGGAACTTGCTGAAAATCGGTCATAACACTTCTCAACATACCGTATCACGATTCTGAAAGCCTCAAACTGCAAAACTTTCTATTTTTTGAGAAACGACGCCTCAAAGTCGAAAAATCCGTTAAAATAAGCTACAGTACTGGCCATAAAAGGTATTTCAAAGTGGTTATTCGAGCATAACTTCTCTGAAAGTGACTCAAATGACTTGGAACTTCGCACAGATTTCAAATAGCTACGCAGTACGCTCTCTCCCAAAAGACGAACTCATTTTCTCGAGTCAGACCGGATTTGAAAGCAAAAAACCAAAACTCGTGAAAATGAAGATTTTTCTCTTGAGATTCGAAAAATCATATCTTCAAAGAAACTTCGATTTTGAATCAGAAACTTTCATGCCCGGTGAAACAAGTCTTGGGCTTTCCAAAAAACCGGATCAGGCCCTTACCAACCCGATAGTAAGAGCGTAGTGACTTTTTCTTTGGAAGGCCTTTTTCGTATTGACGCCTCGTCATTCAAATGGACTATACGAGGTCATTTTTGTTTGAGAACACCCTGTTTCATGTTGAAAAACTTTAAAATACCCTCAAGAATAGTTTTACACTGATTTCTTCAGCTTTCTCACTTTATCCTCTCTCCAGAACTCGCTTACTTCACTAGGTCTGATTCTGAAACCTCTGATTTGAAGCGGTTATGCTCGTTTTTCAAATCAGAACATTCTCGATTAAAAACTTTTTCAGAACGATGATGTATTTTTGGGGCTCTGAGCCCTTATTTCTTAAAAACTGGAAAATTGTGCTGGTTCCAACTTTCAGGATATTCATAAGGTTCATCATGATCTGTTCTGGCCAAATTTCAAGGAATTCCCAACCGTAAAGTGAAAGGACCACCTTGTTAGATCCTTTTTTTTCAATTCAAGGCCTTTTCTGCTTCTCCAAATGAAAGTCTAACCTCGTTAATTTCAACCGAATTTCTAGCAAATCCATTGAAAATATCACCTAATTTGAAAAATCATGTAGTCTCGCCAATCTGTGACAAAGCTTGTTCAAAAATCCCAGTCGAGCTTATTAACACGCTGTCTCCGTTATTCTCAAAAACAACGGGTACAATAAAAAAAAATATTTTTTGATTTGGATGAAACTTCATCCAGTGCGATAACCCATCATCAGAAATGCGGACGCAAATTTTTGAGCCATTCCCTCCTACTGTAGCCGGGTTACGGTAGGCAGGTTGGCACCTGCGTATCTCAGTATTGAAGAGTTTTTTTACTAGGCAAGTTATATATCAATCGATAGGTAATCCAATTTCAAGAACTTTTACAGTACATACCATCTTGGATTACGGTCGAAAAATTTTGAGTTACGGTACTTTTTGTGTCTGCCCAGTCAGTTTTTCGACCACCATGAGCTTGAGCCAGGAGATCCATTCTTCCTAACTTCTCAAAAGATACCTTATGAGAAGCTCTACAAGCTGGTACTAATTTGAAAAAATCCTAGGTGGACCATCATTTCGAAAAATCGCCCCGAAGGCGCGCAATCGTAGTCTTGCGGCGGCCAAGTGGGTGAAGTCCATGATGCCTGACGGCTCATTCTTCAGAGATCCATTCCAATCTTTGTTTCCATTTTACTCATAGATATCTATTATTGACTTTTATTTCAATTTGAGATGTTTTCGGGTTGACCATCATCTCGAAATTTCATTTTGAACCCAAATTTGGCCTGAAAAGGGTCGACACGGCTTCTTTCACGGGATCCCTGACCACGTATGTGACCGTTCTCAACTTTTTTCTTTCTTAAACATGAACAAGAGTGTCTGAACAACAAGTCTTCCTCTTCAAAATTTTCTCCTTTTTCTTCAACCGCTCTTCTCGATCGAAAGTTTTTCTTTTTGTCTGCGAATCTGGAAAAGTATCCTGCAATTTGTTTTGCCGAGATGTGGTCGTGAGGAGGAAAAAAAAAAGAGATCCGTCGCTTTTTCTACTGTTCACTATCAGTTTTTCTACATCTCGTGGGTCCATGAGTCAAAAAAGTTGAGAACGGTCACATACGGGGTCAGGGATTCCGTGAAAAAAGCCGTGTCGACCCTTTTCAGGCCAAATTTGGGTTCAAAATGAAATTTCGAGATGATGGTCTTCTCAAAAGGGTTTCTGATTGTTATAAAACTGTTGTTTAGACACTCTTGTTCATGTTTAAGAAAGAAAAAAGTTGAGAACGGTCACATACGTGGTCAGGGATCCCGTGAAAGAAGCCGTGTCGACCCTTTTCAGGCCAAATTTGGGTTCAAAATGAAATTTCGAGATGATGGTCCTTTCAAAAGGGTTTCTGATTGTTATAAAACTGTTGTTTAGACACTCTTGTTCATGTTTAAGAAAGAAAAAAGTTGAGAACGGTCACATACGTGGTCAGGGATCCCGTGAAAGAAGCCGTGTCGACCCTTTTCAGGCCAAATTTGGGTTCAAAATGAAATTTCGAGATGATGGTCAACCCGAAAACATCTCAAATTGAAATAAAAGTCAATAATAGATATCTATGAGTAAAATGGAAACAAAGATTGGAATGGATCTCTGAAGAATGAGCCGTCAGGCATCATGGACTTCACCCACTTGGCCGCCGCAAGACTACGATTGCGCGCCTTCGGGGCGATTTTTCGAAATGATGGTCCACCTAGGATTTTTTCAAATTAGTACCAGCTTGTAGAGCTTCTCATAAGGTATCTTTTGAGAAGTTAGGAAGAATGGATCTCCTGGCTCAAGCTCATGGTGGTCGAAAAACTGACTGGGCAGACACAAAAAGTACCGTAACTCAAAATTTTTCGACCGTAATCCAAGATGGTATGTACTGTAAAAGTTCTTGAAATTGGATTACCTATCGATTGATATATAACTTGCCTAGTAAAAACTCTTCAATACTGAGATACGCAGGTGCCAACCTGCCTACCGTAACCCGGCTACAGTAGGAGGGAATGGCTCAAAAATTTGCGTCCGCATTTCTGATGATGGGTTATCGCACTGGATGAAGTTTCATCCAAATCAAAAAATATTTTTTTTTATTGTACCCGTTGTTTTTGAGAATAACGGAGACAGCGTGTTAAAGGCGCATGGGCAAGTTCTCATAAAAGTTTCAAGGCGAAAAGTCCTTAACATGTAATTTTCGAGCACTGCGTCTTCGAAAAGTCTATGAAAAGTTTATTATTACATCTTCCAGACTTTTTTATTAATTTAGAGTCCAAAAAAATTTTTCCAAAAAAAAAAAATTCAGAATGAATGTAAAACCACAAGAGCCGTCGCTGAGGAAACCAGGAGATCGGGTTCTTATTCGGGACCGTTGCGGCCTACTCATATCGTTGAAGGTTTAAAAAATGCTATAAAAACTTCATGGTCGCACTTGGAATGGTTCAACTCCTGAGTGGCCTTTTTGGATCTTCAAAAAAAAAAAATCAAAAAAAGGCCTTCATTTCTATCGTCTTTTTCTCATTGAAAACTTCATTAAGAAAAGTCCAAAAACCATCTTTTTAGAGTACTTTTTGCGACCGACCATGAAACGGTTTACGCTTATTTGGTAGATTTGAAAAATGATCAAAATCTCAAACTTGAATTGTTCCACTGTACAAAACTTCAGCAAATTGATAAATTTACTAGGTACTACTACTTGGTAACGCGCTCCGGACACTTCTAGGGATCCCTTAAGTGTTCTGAAACCCATAAGTGGCCACTAGGAAAGCTCCGACACAGGCCGGTTCGCAGGCCCGAGTAATAAATGAATTAACGGAAGTATAGCGAAAAATACAGTATTTTATCCAACTAAAAACGTCAACAAAAATCCAAAAAATCGATAAATTGGAGATTATTAAAAGGTAATCATAAAATTCACAAAATTTCGGGAAAAATATTTCAAAACTTCCCCTTTTTTTGAAATCGTCAAATTGATCATATTTTCTTTCTATAGGTCATTCCGCGCCAGCTTGTCACGATTTTTAACTTTCCTCAGAGCTACGGAAACCCTTTCGGCGCTTCGCTTCGATGCTCTCGGTGTTCCCCCCTGCATGCGCCTTTAATAAAAACATCATTTCTGATTCAGATATTGCTTCAATTTCCTCTATCTTTTTTTAATTAATTTACGAGGTCGTTTTTCAATGGGCTGATTTCATTTTTTTCGCTTTAACTATACGCACTCAGATTCTGTGCTGGATTTAAAAAAAGAAAATCAAGAAGATTGAATTACTACTTTTTAATTATTATCAATGAAACCGACTGTTTGAGCTTTTTTTGGGTTAGTTTGATATAAAATTTGATGTTACAACTGTTTTTGTAGAATAAGAAAATTCCAAAGTTCGGAAATAATGAGTTTTATTAAAGGCGCACGCAAGAGGGCACACCGAGAACATCGAAGCGAAGCGCCGAAAAGGCTACTCTAGCTCCAAATAAACTGAAAATCGTGACAAGCTGGCGCGGAATGACCTATACTACACTACAATAGGAAAACTTTCAAATAATCAAAGCCATCATCAAAATTTCCAGGGTCTCTGGCCCTTATCCGACGCAGAAGAGGAGCCACGTCGTTGGACGGGCAGCATTATTCTGAACTCGTCCGAATTAGGTACTTGTACGAAATTTGCAATATTTCGACTGGAATTAAGCCATGGATTTTTAAATTATCGTTTAAAACACGATGAAATGAATTAGTCGAGGATAAAGGCAGATCTTATCAGCTCCTTTTTCATTAACAGAATCCGAAAAATTTCATTTTCAAACTCCAAAAAAAACTCTATAAACCGTGTTTTTCAGCTATTAGTAATACATGTCTGTAGAACTTACAGCGAAAACTTGGAAAAGTCAAAATAGTTCAAAAGCATTTTTTTGTATGAGTATAGGACAAAAGCGCCGATTCCAAGAGCGCCGTTCAAATTTTGCGCCGGTCCGCAATGCGCCGTCGCGTGTATGCGCCGTGTATGCAGACGCCGCTTTCTTTTGCGCCGAGTCCGTTTGCGCCGAATCGTTTTGCGCCGTTATTTCAAACTTTTTATTTATTCGCTCTTTTTTTATATTATTTTTTTAATAATTGTTTACTACACATTCATATACGACTCGAATAATTTTTCGCGCCATCCGTTAATGATGAGTTTTAGGTCCACTTTGGTCCAGGTAAAATATTTTTTTCCCCTTTTTTTCTTTTTCAAAGTAAAAAAATAAAAAAAGCAAATATGCTTTTTCTGATTTCGAAAAAAATACAGAAAACGTAAGGAAAAAGAGAATGGATAAAAAAATTATTGCTTTAAACGACATATTGAGTGATTTTTTTGTGATTGCAAATTTTTCTGCGTTAGGTAAGGCAAAGTTTCAATTCTAGCAGACGTGAAACAGCAGAAAATCGTTTTTTTCGTAACGTTGAACTCATTTTTCTTGAAACAATAGTTCGAGTTTTTTTCGAAAATGCGGCAGAAAAGTCCATATTAACAGATGGCGCGAAAAATTATTCGAGTCGTATATGAATGTGTAGTAAACAATTATTGAAAAAAATAATATAAAAAAAGAGCGAGTAAATAAAAGTTTGAAATAACGGCGCAAAACGATTCGGCGCAAACGGACTCGGCGCAAAAGAAAGCGGCGTCTGCATACACGGCGCATACACGCGACGGCGCATTGCGGACTGGCGCTAAATTTGAACGGCGCTCTTGGAATCGGCGCTTTTGTCCTATACTCTTTTGTATTTTGTATCACAATTCTATTACCCCGGCCGAAATTTACTAAAAAAAACCACGCTTTTTCGCTTTTCGAGATTTTTATCGAGGCAAACTTGTCGGAAGCCAATTTGTAAACCCTAAAAAGCGGAAGAAGCCCTTTTGAATTCCAGAATTTCCCCGTGTCGAGTACAAACTACGGGCTCACACGAGAAGACGTTGCCGGGATGACGTCATCTGTTCCCACGGCGTCGGCGTCATCAAAAAGGACGATATCGTCGTGGTTAACGTTAGTTTTTACCACGGATGAAAGGGCACGCTATTTGACTTTGCCAATTGGTTTTTTTTTTTCTGTCTAGTGACCTTTCTCTAAGGCAAAAGACAAAAAAACGTACAAAATGAGCGTCCCTCAGCAATATTTGGTCTCCTGGTGATCCCTCAGAAAATCGCTTAGACCCTGAAAGAGGAGAAAATTAATTGTGTATAAAAACATGTGTATTGAATTTAAGGGGTCCCTATAGGGGTCAGGGAGAAAATAAACCCTACAGAGGCCAAAAAGTGAGCTCTATAGGGGTTTAGGATCGGACCGCTAAGCCGAGAAGTGATTACTATGTTTTCTTCAGAGGCCACCAACTAAGACCCCTTAAGTGACCCTTTTTTCAAGGTGCCATTATATGGAATAGGTAGAGTGGTCCCTAGAGGGAAGCCTTCAAGTGCTTTTAAGGTTGCCCCTAAAGAGACAACTCTGAAGCTCCTGAAGAAATAAAGTCTGCATCAGGCGGTGTATACGTACTCTCTGCCGACCGTAACTCAAAAATTCCACATTTCCTCGTTTTTGAAAAAATCGAATCGTTCCAGTATCAAATGCCGGAAGAAGCCATTTCGGTGACGTCATTGACACTGATTGTCGACGGATCGCCGCACGACGTACCACTTTACAAGGAGCATAAGGCCGATTATTACTGGCTTGGCTACGACACTCGAGGTGGTCACTTGAGGGATTTTTTTTTTTGAAGGCACTTCTCGTATCATGAAGTGTAACAGGAAAAAAAGTTTTTCACTCAAATTTTTTTCAGAAACTTACCTATGCTCCTTTAAAAACCCCAGCAAAATCCTGTGAAAAATTAATAATTTTCAAAAAAAACCACTCAAGATTTAGTGAAGGATTAGGGATCCATCTGACGTTTTGTTAAGGAGTTATATTAATGGGATTAGCTTTTCAAATGGAAAAATAATAGACTGCGGGGGAGGCCAAAATTCGGATTATGTGCTTGATTAAAAGCTATAGTTCATCCATCTCTGGCAGAACATTTTCAAGAAAGTTCGAAAGATCACAAAAGATGATGTTTAGACGTCTCTGTAAGCTTTTTGCTGAAGCTAGCCAATTTTCAAAAAAATCTGTAGGTTACTGTATATCGTGCCAGGACCCTTATGTTAAAAAATGCCATAATCCTTCAATTATTTCGAAGAAAAAAGAGGGGATTTCAAAAAAATTCTCTCGCTTATCTATTTGAGCCAGACTATGGTTATGGGCTTGGTTGCGCTGAGAATGGCTCAAGTTGCCATTTGCAACCGACTTAAAACGGTCTGCGCCCTTGGGCATCGAAAGATAATGAGACAAGAGCTTCCAATCCAACCACGACGCTTTAGAGTCTCAAGCAGAGATCACGAAATTGTCAAAAATTGGTCTGATGAGGGATTTTAGAGAAATTAGTGTATTTTTGGTCGGAGTGGATCGAATTTTAGTTCAATAACCGATTTAAAAAAATTCAAGCACTAATTTTGAACTTTTCGTTTCAAAAAATATTCCCTAGCCCCTTTCTTTTTCCCTCGAATACCTGGCCTATGATAAGCAAAATCGGAAGGACCCTTTACGGGCCCTTTGAGCGTCCGTTATTGTTCCTAAACGGGTGGCAACGGTTTCCTTTCTACTGCCTTTTTCCGTCCTTTCATCGACCTTTATCCGCCCTTTTTGGACCCTTTGGAGAACGAAACATTTTTTAAATTGAGATAAGACTTTACCAGTGACTGTGTATGAACCAAAATGTGCTACAGTAATGTAATCGGAAATAATCAATGACCGAGATTTTCAGCACCCTTTTTGCGGCCATTTTGCGGCCTTTTAGCGGCCATTTTGCAGCCTCTCCCTTTTTTCACCCTTTTTGAGGCTTTTCAGCCCACCAAGAAAAAAAGGCTCAATAAAAGCCGCAAAACGGAAACCTTTTAGCGGCCATTTTGCAGCCTCTCCCTTTTTTCACCCTTTTTAGCCCACCAGGAAAAAAAGGCTCAATAAAAGCCGCAAAACGGGACCCTTTCAGCGGCCATTTTGCAGCATCTCCCTTTTTTCACCTTTTTTAGCGCACCAAAAAAAAAGGCTCAATAAAGGCCGCGAAACGGAACCCTTCTAGTGGCCATTTTCCAGTCACTCCCTCTTTTCCACACTTTCGACGGCAGTGGGATGAGCCACAAACATTCGTACCGAAAGATGACTAGCTCTAATGTTCCCCCTACAACCTTGAGTCACATTGCGCGGCGGACGTCAACAAAAAAGCAATTTTTTTCGTGGTAGTCGCAAAATTGGCGGTTTTGAGAGTTGGGCCCGGTAATTACCGTCTAGGTTAACGTTAAAGCTGACGTCACTTCCAAAACTCATTTTTTTCCCCCTTTAAAGTTCCGACGCTCAAAGAACTGGCGGTAGTACGGCCGGCTCCGACGTCAGTCTCGCCGATGACGTCACCGATGACGCCGACGCCAAAGGCCGTGCCGCAGGGCAGCTTTGCCCGGGTGGACAGTCTACCTGTCGGATTGAAGAACTACCTGTTGGTGGGTTCGAGAGGTCACTTAAGGGATGCAAGTGATTTCATAACTTAGCTTCTCACCATCAACCAACTTTTTTTTTGAAATTGAAAAATTCCCTTTGGTTGAGGGGTTCCTAGAGAAGTTAACTCGAACATTTAGTTGAGGAGTGGAAGTGGTCACTTAAGTGATGAATCGTGCAGGAAAAAATTGCAGTAAATTGGACGTGTCTTAGCATTTATAGGGACCACCTTAGGGGTCTCAAAACTCTTAAGTGATCCCTAGAATCGCTCAGAAGTCGGTAACACGATCCGGACGCGTCAGGCCATTTCTAGAGACCACTTTAGGGGCGTCAGAACTCTTAAGTGATCTCTAGAAACGCTCAGAAGTTGGAACGTGAATCGGACTTGTCGGGGCATTTTTAGTGACCGCTTTAGGGATGTCTGAACTCTTAAGTGATCCCTAGAATCGCTCAAAAGTCGGTAACACGATCCGGACGCGTCGGGGCATTCCTAGGGATCACTTTAGGGGTGTCAGACCTCTTAAGTGATTCCTAGAATCGCTCAGAAGTCGGTAACACGATCCGGAAGCGTCGGGGCATTTCTAGTGACCATTTTAGGGATGTCAGAACTCTTAAGTGATCCCTAGAATCGCACAGAAACGTCCGCTTCGTGTTCACTCAGTACTGGATAAATCACTTCCCAGAGCTTCCCAAGTAATTGAAGACCTTAACTTTCATAATAAGCTTCTTTAGTTGCTCTAGCTCATCCCTTAAAAGTATAAATAAATCTTAAATTTATCTACGTAACCATTCCAAAGCTCATATCTCCTAACATTCAGGGCTGTGACGGTCTCGACTCTGTCTGCCGGTTAGTACTGCCCCACGTGAAGTTGCTTTTCCGAGAGCTGGCCGAGCATCCGACGAGCTCCAGAAAGTTCATGGACCTCGACGCTGATCATAATCTCGGAGAAGGTCTAGTGGCCCGAAACCTCGTGGGTCACTGGATCGAGTTCAGCGTTCACTGAAGAAGTCCTACGTCGATTCCATGACAGCAATCGGGAGGATTTCCCCACGACGCCTGCCCTTTTCAAATGACGTCATTGTCAATTTTACGACGTCACTCTTGGATCAATCTCAAATCCACGTTCAGCGCTATTTACTCAGAAACTCACGAAGAAACTTGCTCAATCGATAAAATTTTTGTCTTCTTTTAAGAATTGACAAATCTCATCAAGAGAATTTTGAAAAAATGAAAAAAAAAATTCTAAGGAAACACTCAGAAGACCTTTTCTCTATCTAATAAGGAAGTTTTCTTTTTCCAAATTTTGTTTTCCAGCTCATTTTCTACGACTTTTCCGATGTAGGCGTGGAAAAATGACATAAAAATAGGGGTTAATCAAGTCGAATGAATACTCAAAAATTGATGAAATTCGTGAGAATTCTTTTTTTGACATTTTTCTTTCTCATTAACTCATTCCCACGGCAGACCAGGTCAATTGGAAACTACAAATGCTAGAAAAATGGTTAAAAGTTGTTGCAGACATTTTTTTTTCGACTTTTCATTTTGAGTTGTCTAGAATGAGAGGAAAAGTGTTAGGAAAACTGATTTTGAAAAAAAAAATCGGATTCGATGACCTTGTGGAACTAAAAATGAATTTTTTGAAAGTCAAAAAAAAAGCAAAATTTCAAATTTTTGCCAGGATCCGATCCAATGACCTCCTGCACAGAAAGCAAGAATGCTAGCCATTCTGCTGAAAATTCAAAACTTCCTCGACAAGGAAAAGTGGTCACTTAAGGGTTCTAACCAGTATCTGAGTATCTGATCTCAAGACCTCAAAAGGGAGTGATCACTTAAGGGAATACTGCAAACAAGACGGCTAGTCATTCGATTTGACCGGATTTTCAGACACTGCTGGGACAATTTCAAGTAGTCCCTTAAGAGAAAGGCTAAGTAGTCCCTTAAGGAACCCTAGAGCCTCTGATAACGTTGATTTTAAGACAGAAAAGTCCAAGTGGTCACTTCAGGAGCCAGTAAAAATTGCGAGTAGGACCTCAAGAGATAAGTTGAAGCTCAAACCACTTAAGGCATCACTTGGCACTTCAGAATTACATATCAAGCCAAACCACTTAAGGCATCACTTACCACTTCAGGCTTAAATATCAAGCTAAACCACTTAAGGCATCACTTGGTACTTCAGGATTACATATCGAGCCAAATCACTTAAGGCATCACTTGGCACTTCAGGATTACATATGGAGCCAAACCACTTAAGGCATCACTTGGCACTTCAGGATTACATATGGAGCCAAACCACTTAAGGCATCACTTACCACTTCAGGCTTAAATATCAAGCTAAACCACTTAAGGCATCACTTGGTACTTCAGGATTACATATCGAGCCAAATCACTTAAGGCATCACTTGGCACTTCAGGATTACATATGGAGCCAAACCACTTAAGGCATCACTTGGCACTTCAGGATTACATATGGAGCCAAACCACTTAAGGCATCACTTGGCACTTCAGGCTTACATATCAAGCCTCCTTAAAAGGCCTTCGGATTGTGAATTTTGCAAAATTTCAAAAGCGGATCTGCACCTTGGCTCAACACAGAGCGGCTGCTTTGAAACGCCCCCGACCTAAACCGACTTGCGCGCACCATCCTTTTCTCTCATCTTAAAAACCCAATACAAACGTATAAAATTCATTGAAGGACACAACAACTGATAAAAGTATCACATTTGGGTAGGGCAAAGGCTTGAAATATTTACAACAGTGGTGAGAATAACTTTCTTTTATCATCAAAATAATAACGTCTTCTGATCGAAATGAATTTATTAATATCGCCGTGACTTCAAAATGGCCTTGATGAGCTGGTCGTGGTTTTCCATTGGGTGAAACCGCGCTGAAAGTTTAATCCATCTATATTTTGTAATAATCCCAAGTACCTGGCCGTTTCAACAAGTTGAGCAATAAATGTGGCTGAGAGTCTTTCAGCAGATTTTCGTCGTATTCTTCTAAAAATTATAGTCTTCTTCTGAAAAAGTCATCCCGATTACCTGAATAAGGGGCGGCGAAGACCAAGATTATCGCAGAAAGTAAGAAAATAGTTATCATACGGAGCTGGGCGTTCATTTTCTCAGTAAATATACCTGAAAACATCGTATTTCGAAGGTTTGATATAACAGAAAACGCGAAAAAGCAAAAATCGGTGGGAGGATTGAACCAAGGACCTTTCTATTGGTCCTCAAGACTTCTAGCCATTTGACAAACGGCGATTTGAAAAAAGAGAAGGGTAGAAGAAACGACCAGCTAGTGGTCAAGGAGAATGAGCAGAATGACTCGAAGCGACGCCGTCGGAGGCGTGTCGACAAAGCTCCGCCCCCTTTCAGGGCGTTTCTCATGATTTTTTCTTCCAACACTGATCTTCACGCCCAGTACCTCCTCCTACACGTTGTTTTTGTGGAGTTTGGAGAATCATACTGTATAGTCTGGATTACGGTATTCAAAAACTGGTAGAACGTCATTTTGAGAAAACTGGATTTGAAAGCTTGGATCCTCTGGCATCCTTGATAGTTCAAAATGATAAGAAAAAAAAACTTTTGAAGGGTTACTGTATTTTTACTGTAGACTGAAAAAACCGAAACCACCGTGGTCAAAATTTTGGTAGTTCAGGCTAGATAAAAGCAAAAATTTACAGTAGCTAAACTATTCTGAAGTTATTTTTCAGCTCAAATTTTTCCATTGGCTTTTGACTTTTTGCAATCCTGGTAGAGGAAAAAAACTTCAGAAATTCATTCCAAAAAAATCTCAATAACTCTATAATTTTGTCAAACAAACTTTTTCAACAGCTTTCTATCTTCTAAAAGCGATCCTTTCGAACGAAAATAAATTTGAAAAAAAGGAAGGAATTCAAGTTTATTTGAAGTTAAAGGTACATCGAAGTTAAAATTAGGCCTTGCGAGATGAAAATTTGAGTTCCCCCAGTGTTTCAGTTTCATTGATTTTTTCAAAAAGGAAGCCCTAAATATGCATATTATATCAATCACACGTCAAAGTTTCAGATTTAAATTATATTCTAATTTTAGCAATTTGAAGTTTAGACGCACTTTTTCATTGGCTTCTCGATAATTTCCGGGTTTGAATTTTAACAAGAAAATGAAGCCATGGAAAAAATTTCAGAGAAAGTGCGTCAAAACGTGGACCAAAAATGAGTGGCTGACAAACCACCGCGCTGCGGGTGGAAGCCTTTGATCTCCATTGACCCTCGCTTTTTCTTCACTAATCCTTATTTGAGAAATGAGCGTCTGGTGAACTCAGTGATCTCTACTTTACGATGTCTATTGAAAAAATTCAAGTTCACGTGAAAATTATTTTTTTCAGAACTTGGAAACTAAAACTCCAAAAACAGAAGTTCTGGAAAAGCACCTGTCTTGTACAAAAATAGTTTCGAGGAGACTGAAAATCAAGATTTATTTTTGCAAATTTCGCCGTTTAGAGTATTCAAATGAGGCGATTTATGGTGTGCGAAAAATTTAATTTTTTTCAGAAATTTGTTAATCTTGATCTAGAAAAGCCTAGTGCTCGCCTAAAGTTTAAGCTTCTCAAAAAATGGCAGCGTCTAAAAATCAAGCTTCTCCTAAATTGGCAGCGCCTGAAAATCAAGCTTCTCCAAAAACGGCAGCGCCTAAAAATCAAGCTTCTACAAAATTGGCAGCGCCTGAAATTTAAGCCTCTCCAAGAATGGCAGCGCCTAAAAATCAAGCTTCTCCAAAAATGGCAGCGCCTAAAGTTCAAGCTTCTCTAAAAATGGCAGCGTCTAAAATTTAAGCTTCTCCAAAAATGGCAGCGCCTAAAAATCAAGCTTCTCCAAAAACGGCAGCGCCTAAAAATCAAGCTTCTACAAAATTGGCAGCGCCTGAAATTGAAGCCTCTCCAAGAATGGCAGCGCCTAAAAATCAAGCTTCTCCAAAAATGGCAGCGCCTAAAGTTCAAGCTTCTCTAAAAATGGCAGCGTCTAAAATTTAAGCTTCTCCAAAAATGGCAGCGCCTAAAAATCAAGCTTCTCCAAGAATGGCAGCGCCTAAAATTCAAGTTTCTCCTAAATTGGCAGCGGCTAAAATTCAAGCTTCTCCAAAAATAGCAGCGCCCAAAGTTTAAGCTTCTCCAAAAATAGCAGCGCCTGAAAATCAAGCTTCTCCAAAAATGGCAGCGCCTAAAGTTCAAGCTTCTCTAAAAATGGCAGCGTCTAAAATTTAAGCTTCTCCAAAAATGGCAGCGCCTAAAAATCAAGCTTCTCCAAGAATGGCAGCGCCTAAAATTCAAGTTTCTCCTAAATTGGCAGCGCACAAAGTTTAAGCTTCTCCAAAAATAGCAGCGCCTGAAAATCAAGCTTCTCCAAAAATGGCAGCGCCTAAAGTTCAAGCTTCTCCTAAATTGGCAGCGCCTGAAAATCAAGCTTCTCTAAAAATGGCAGCGGCTAAATTTTTCCAAATGATATTTCTTCCCGGCTCAACTACTGAAATCCAAAAAATCACTTAATACTAAAAAGTATATATTTAGAATCCCATGAAAACGAGGGAAAAAAAACGTGGGTACGGCCGAATAAATTTAATTTAAAAAATAATTTGATACTGACAAGATTTCTCAGAACAATTGTAGTCGTATACATTCCTACGGCGGCCATTTTTGGGTTTATTACTTTCCAAAATTTTTTTTCTGACGAAAAATTTGGGAAGTAGACAATCGGGTACATTATGATGGGATTGAACTACGAAAATTTTCAGGAATTCGTTATCCTAGAGAAAAACATCACAAGAGAACTTTCGGAATGAGTTCCTTAATAGATAAATTTGATTCATATCAAAAATTTAAACTTAATTCTTTCACGTTTGAGCTTAACATGATTTGGACGTTAAAATAACTTTTTTTCGTCTTGCTCTTTGATTCAATTATGACTGAAACGTGATGAAGTTGGTTTTTTCCTTGAGCCAGAGGAACTTTTTTCGAGGGTTCATGAAAAAAAAAAAATTGAAAAAAAAGTTTAGGATGGATCTGTGAAGGATGAGCCGTCAGGCATCATGGACTTCACCTGTTTGGCCGCCGCAAGACCACGATTGCGCGCCTTCGGAGCGATTTTGCAAAATGATGGTCCACCTAGGATTTTTTCAAACTGGTATCAGCTTGTAGAGCATTTCAAAAGGTATCTTTTGAGAAGCTAGGAAGAATGGTTCTCCTGGCTCAAGCTCGTGGTGGCCGAAGACGCAAAAAGTACCGTAACTCAAAATTTTCCCACAGTATCCCAAGATGGTATGTACTGTAAAAGTTCCTAAAATTGGATTACCTATCGATTGATATATCACTTGCCTAATAAAAACTCTTCAATACTGAGATACGCAGGTGCCCACGTGCCTACCGTAACCCGACTACAGTAAGAGGAAATGGCTCAAAAAGTTGGTTCCGCATTTCTAATGATTGGCTATCAAACTGGATGAAGTTTCATCAAATTCAAAAAAAATATTTTTTTATTTTTTTGAGAATTACAGAGACAGCGTGTTAAACGTGAATGAACTATTCCTGAAAGAAAATTCAAACTATTTTTCTCTTGTTTCATCCAAAATAAATCTTTAACCGCCGTTATGAGTCACCTCTCTTTCAAAAAATGCCCTTTTTTCGATGTTTGACTTTCTTTTCTGAATTTCAAAACGTTCTTTATCATAGATACCTAATCTAGTCTAATGGGTCATTCTAAAATAAACGAACACTAATTCCAGAAAAGTGGTTCTCGAAATTTCTCCCTGTACATCCAAATGCCTAGGTAAACAGCAGGATAAGCCTCGGTTTTTTCTTGCAACCAAATCCGAAAGATCCCAAACGCCCGTCTTAACATTCCAGATTTGAAAAGTTGCGCAACTACAGAATCCTCTTATAAATCCCACCTTCGACGTACGCCAGTGTTAAGTGGGAGATTACAGATGTGAAACGTGCAAAAAAGAAAGATTCCGTGCCGATTGGTGCCTGGCGCCTTTCATCTCCAGATATGTACTCATCTTTTTTTCCGCCATAAAACCAAAATATAGGAGAATTTGTTCTCTGCGGATTGTTTGTACCTTTGTAGAAGAACAAAATTGTAGGTGTAAAGAACTGGGATGGGAAAGGTATGAAAAATTATGAGAGTTTTTTTGATCTTCTAACTTTAGAATAAAGTCTCGCCTTCTCTTTATACCTTTATATATTGGCGGCGAATGAGCTTTTCCTAACTAGGGAACGTTTTTTTAAAGCTCTATTTAATATTTGTCTTTTCCATAGAAATATGTTATTTTTTTATATTTTAGCATCAGAAGCAGATAATCTAACCAGGGAACTTTTTACCCCCTTTTGCTGAAACTTTGGTAAAGTGTACTTTTAGAGCCCCTGATTCCAGAACAGAAAGAAAATTTTTCGCAATAGATCTCGTTTTCGAGTTAGGACACTTCAAAGGCCCGAAATAGCGCTTTTTTGGCCGAATTTGCGTATTTTGCACACTTTGAAGCTCCATAACTCGGAAACAAGATCTATTGCGAGAAATTTTCTTCTTGATCTGCAATCAGGGGGTCCTAAAGTACACTTCAGCAAAGTTTCAGCAAAAACCGGGATGGGGGCTAAAAAAACGTTCCCTGGTTAGATCATCTGCTTCTGATGCTTCTGATGCTTAAAATATAAAAAAATAACGTATTTCTATGGAAAAAGACAAATATAAAATTGAGCTTTAAGAACAAAAAGACGCATCCAGACGTCAGGATTACCCTTTCTCTGAAGAAAAAGTTATTTTTGCAAGTTCAAAGTTGGATAGAAAGCCATCTTTCTTCTTCTTGAAAAGGCCTTTTCTTGGGTGAAAAGGTTCAGAAGCCTTTTTTTTACATTTGAAAATTAGCCAAGTAAGCCTTCAAATAATCGCTGAAAAAGCCACTGGCTCAAAAAATTCCATATTTCTGAAATTTTTTCAGACTTAAGCAATTTCAGTTCAAAATCAGATTGAGAGCAGCTTTTTTTCCAAAGAAAATAAAAAAACCTTTTCAACATTTCAGTTTTTTTCTACAAATCAATGTCAAATAAATATACTTTTCTTGATTTTTTTGAAAGTTTTTTTCTATGTTTTTTTAGTCATCAAGAAAGTTTACAAAAAAAATTCGGGACTTTTTCAATCACTAAGAAGACCGCAGCCGTGAAAAAACTAGAAATTAATCCCGAAAATCCACGTTTTCCTAGAGTAGGGTTAGCCTATTTTCAAGAAAGACAAAATTTTAACAAAAAATAAATATTTAAGCTCCTTATTTGGCTCAGATAACTTGCAACGCCGTCAGAATCCACGCCTTCGCAAAAATTCAGCAAATCTTTAGCGTATAATTTGGAAAATAAAAAACGTTTCAATCATCACTTACACTACCGCGAAACCAAACCAGCACCATCCATCAAAACCATCACTTAATCCGAATGAAAACAAGAGAAAGCCGCGTCTTTTGGAGCCTAATTTGAGGCTTTGGAAGAAGAAGATGCTCGCGCGGTTTTCGGTCCTCAGAAATATGAAAGAATCGAAAATATTTGCGCCCTTTTTTTCGTAAAATTTCAATGAGGTGTGATTTCTGGCTATCGAAAATGTATAGTATAATTATGAGAAGGGCGAAAAAAAACTTAGGAATATGTTTCATGTGGGTTGGAACTTGTGTGACGTTTTGGTCAATAGTCGAATCTTGCATTTTTTTTTTTGCAGAAAAATACACAAAGCAAGCGCTTCCAAAAAAGGTTTGACATAAAATTTCTTTCTATTCAAACGTAAAAGTATATATATCCGGACAAAAATAGCTTCAAAGTGGATCATTCTTGCACCAATTCTGCCCCCATTTTCAGCTTTTTAGCAGAAGCTAAGAGCTCCGAAAAGGGAAAAAAGAAGAAGGATAATGGTTTTTTTTTTCAAGAGAAAGCATTTCACCATAAATTTCACATCTCACGAAGTCTGCCGCCAGAAATATTTTCACCTAAAGTAGCTGGAAAAAAAAATGAACGAGGCACAAATTATTGGGAACCAACAAAAAAAGTCCAAAAGATAACATAAACTTCAAGTTTCGCTCAATCTTGATTGTCGAGTGTACTTTGACCGACTCTAAAGACGCTGCCAAAATTGGGAAAGCCCTACTAGGGAACGTTTTTTCCAATTTTGAACTTGCAAAAATAACCTTTTCTTCAGAGAAAGGGTAATCCTGATGCCTGGATGCATATTTTGATCTTAAAGCTCAATTTTATATTTGTCTTTTCCATAGAAATATGTTATTTTTATATTTGAAGCATCAGAAGCAGATAATCTAACCAGGGAACGTTTTTACCCCCGGTTGAACTTTTGCTGAAACTTTGCTGAAGTGTAGTGTACTTCAGGACCCCCTGATTACAGAAAAAGGAAAAAATTTCTCGCAATAGATCTTGTTTCCGAGTTATGGAGCTTCAAAGTGTGCAAAACACGCAAATTAGGCCAAAAAAGCGCTATTTCGGGCTTTTGAAGTGTCCTAACTCGAAAACGAAATCTATTGCGAGAAATTTTCTTTTTGTTCTGGAATCAGGGGCTCCTAAAGTACACTTCAGCAAAGCTTCAGCAAAAGTTCAACCGGGGGCAGAAAAACGTTCCCTGGTTAGATTATCTGCTTCTGATGCTAAAATATAAAAATAACATATTTCTATGGAAAAGACAGATATAAAATAGAGCTTTAAAAAAACGTTCCCTAGTTAGGAAAAGCTGTTTCGCTGCCAAATCTTCAAAAATGCCAAAAACTTCGATTCAAAGCGCTGCCAAATTTCAAAAAGGTCGAAATTTCAGAGCATGCCAGAAAAAATTCAATACAAATCCTCTTTGAGGTATCTAAAAATAGAAGAGGAGGCGAAACCAATAGCTTTTTGTTGGGGCACAAATTAGTTTCATTCGAGATTGGATACCTTTTTCCAAACGCCTAAAACAAGTTTTTTTTTCTCTCATCAAGAACATCGTCCACTCTGGGCTAAGCTGCTGATTACACCCTTCCCCTGTGTAAACCCGAAAATTACAAATTCAAAAACATTTTCCAAATTGCACACGTCCAAACGTTCATTTGATGCTTTTTGCTAGTCTAATAAATAGTTGTGTTAGAAATTTTGGGAAAAGTAAAGTTCCATAGGTGGAAAAGGTGCAATTTGAAGTGGTTCATAGTACATTCGAGGTGGTACGGATTCAAAAATGGTGGTTACTTTTTATAGAAAAGATTTTTCTTAAAAATTCACGTCGATACTTTTTTTAATTTCCGCTTTGAGAGTACATCTTTTGAAGTTTAAAAAAACCTATCTTTCAAACAAAAATAATTTTTTTACAGAAGCTTCCAAGTCTATATTTTCATTCAAGCTAAATTAATCTAGTAAATTAAATCTGAAAAAAAGCCAATCCGCAGCCAAAAAGCCGACTGGTTTGTCCTTTTTCGTCTATTTTTCAGTCCGGATTAGGGCCCTAAATAGAATTCGGGATTCAAATTGAATTGTTGCCGTAGTATTCCCGTTTCGAAAGTCTAGAAAATTCCCGAAAAATCGAGCCTTCACTGAGAAAAAATGAATAAATAAAAAAAATTGGAAAAATGAACTTTCAAAGAATAAAAAAAAGAACAAAAATAGCTTTATCGAACTATAATATAATTTTTAAAACTCGTTTTTCGAATATTTGAAAAATTGGAAACTCACAATTTCAACGAAAACGAAAAATCAGTTGCTCTTCGTAATTTCTCCAGAAGGCCTCAAGTCGCGCGAGATCTTCTGTTTTCTGGATTCCGACTTTTTCTGCTTTGCCAACGGCATCAGAAGCTCATTCCGCTTGATGTCCTCTTCTTGGGGCTCCTTCATGAGCTCCCAGGAAACCTGGAAAGTGCGGATGGTTTTTGGAAAAGAATTTCAAACACCGACTGCTTTATTCAAAAACTTTTTCTGCTTGAAAAAATTTCTCTAGACTCAAGAAGATACAGTAGTAGAACCTTTTTTAAAATTTGAAAAGAAGTGAGATTTTTCAAAGCTGTCCTCTTCCTAGAGAGCGAAAAATTGGAACTGAGGAGCCAAAATATTCGAATCTTCCGCCTTTTGCAATTTCGAGGTCCATTTTTCATATTTTTCACAGTATCTAGCAGATTGAAAAATGATACTCCTTACTTCACTAGGTCTGATTTTGAAACCTCTGATTCGAAGTGATTATGCTCGTTTTTCAAAATCAGAAAATTCTCGATTTCGAGCATAACCACTTCGAATCAGAGGTTTCAAAATCAGACCTAGTGAAGTAAGCGAGTTCTGGAGAGAGGATATAGTGACAAAGCTGAAGAAAACAGTGTAAAACTATTCTTGAGGGTATTTTAAAGTTTTTCAACATAAAACAGGGTGTTCTCAAGTATAAATGACCTCGAATAATTCATTTAAATGACGAGGAGTCTAAACGAAAAGGCCTTCCGACGAAAAAGTCACTACGCTCTTACTATCGGGTTGGTAAGGGGCTGATCAGGTTTTTTGGAAAGCCGAAGACTTTTTTACCGGGCAAAAAAGTTTCTGATTGAAAATAGAAGTTTCTTCGAAGATATGATTTTTCGAATCTCAAGAGAAAAATTTTCATTTTCACGATTTTTGGTTTTTTGCTCTCAAATCCGGTTTGTCTCGAGCAAATTAGTTCTTCTCTTGGGAAAAAAGTTACTGCATAGTTATTTGAAATCTGTGCGGAGTTTCAAGTCATTTGAGCCACTTTCAGAGAAATTATGCTCGAATAACCACTTTGAAATCGCTTTATAGCCAGTACTGTACCCCACAAATCAAAAAGAAAAAAAAAATCGCCGGGTTGATATTTAGGATTATTTTTAATTATCGACTTTATATGAAAAAAAGCTTGATCCTCCCGCGAACCCGTTATCACCAACTTTGATCTCATCAAGCAGGTCCGCGGCCCGTTTCCAGAGTTCTTGTCGAGCAATCGGCTTATGAAGGGAGTTTCGCCATCCATTCCGGCGCCAGACTTTCAGATTGGCCTCCACCGTCCTCACCGACTTCTCCGAGTCTGTTCTGATTCGAATCGAGCGCATTTTCGAGTCTTTTGCCTGAGGAATTCCCACTTAAAAACGTCACTCTCTTCCCTCCACCTGCTCCAGAATTTCAATGAGCGCTTGTGGCATTCCAGTTGTCGACGAAACTTTGCCGGTGGAATTCCAAACAAGGCCTGGGTTTAGGTTGGTTCCCGATTTGAACAACCAGACGAGGGGTATGCTGAAAAAAATTATTGAGTCATTAAAACACAAAAAATCAAGGGCGTCTGGACTTGAAGCTTTTTTTGATCTGGGTAACAGTTTTACAGTGAAGCAATCAATGGTACAATGAGCCCAAAGCTTCAGTGAAATATAAAAAAGTGTTTAATAACTGTTTCCTATGTTGTTCTGGAGATTTCGTTGATTCCAGGTTTCAAGCTATAACTTACTACAGAAATTAGCTACCCAGCTGATTTTTCTGTGTTAACATACTGGATATGCAAGTAACAACTGTAGAAAATTTGACAGAAATTGGACAACTCCTGCAAAAGTTATGACGAAAAAAGTGAAATTGTATATCTTATTGCAAGGTACTGTAGCTCCAACTTCGAAGCTTTTTCAATTTGAATAAAACTTAGGCGGTACCAAATTTGAAAAAAAAAATAAGCTTTAACTCTGGGAACAGCCAAATTTATTGAAAGGATCATTTTTGGGCGTTCCTGAACTAAGAAAAGTTTAGGAGGCCCCGATAGGGACTTGGCCATTCGGGGCCCCGATAGAGGTAAAATAGAAGCCAGTGAAAATTTGATCCTATCCCAGTGAAAATTTGATCCTACCCACCTGTAGGAGACCCTTTAACCCCTATAGAGTTCCTAAACCAAATTTTCGAGGCCCCGATACGGGTTGAGTTAGGTGCCAGATTTTTCACAGATTTTTCCCCTAAACTTTTCTTAGAAATGGAAAAGCACAGGAAAAAACTTAGGCGCTGCCAAATTTCAAATAAGTTCCCTGAAAATTTTCCTATCTTCCAACACCTCTACTGTTCCGAAACTTTTTTATTTTCACGTTTCTGACATACGTCGGCTGGATCCCACCCCAGTTTTTTGCGCGCAAAAAAATTTATTTGAAACTTTACTAAAGTAGGCAATTTTCGGGGGTAGGCCGCAATTTTTTTGGGGGAGGGGGGGGATAGGCCGCTCTATTTGGGGGTTGGCAGCAGTTTGAGGGGGTAGGCCGCACTTTTCGGGGGTTGGCAGCAGTTTGAGGGGGTAGGCCGCACTTTTCGGGGGGGTAGGCTGCACATTTTTGGGGGGTAGGCCGCAGTTTGAAGGGGGGGGATAGGCCGCTCTATTTGGGGGTTGGCAGCAGTTTGAGGGGGTAGGCCGCACTTTTCGGGGGTTGGCCGCAGTTTGAAGGGGGGATAGGCCGCACTTTTTCGGAGGGTAGGCCGCAATTGAAGGGGGTAGGCCGCACTTTTTTTGGGGGTTGGCAGCAGTTTGAGGGGGTAGGCCGCACTTTTCGGAGGGTAGGCCGCAATTGAAGGGGGTAGGCCGCACTTTTTGGGGGGGTACCCCGGGGTGGGATCCAGCCGACGTATGATTTTGAGCTTCCAACCTTTCATCAGCCTTATCCGTCGTCATTTCGTCAATCGTCAGCTCGTACTCGGATCGATCTTTGCCGATCAGCGGCAAATGGAGACCTTCACTCGCTTTTTCAGCCAGTTCTTTCCACATTGGTTCGGTTGGTTTCGGCGCCTCGTATCGGAAATTAACCTAAAGATATTTTGTACTTTAAGGAAGCTTATTTTTGTTACAACTTTTCTTAATTTGATTCAAACACCTTTTCAAACTGGGCAACCAAATCTTTGATGCGAAGGTAGAATTCCTTGTTGGCCACAGGCTCGCCCGATTTTGAGAGCCATCTGAAATATTTTTTTAGAAGAAAACTTTCAAAATGACTGCTCTCGGCCGAACTAATGCCTTTTTTTTTTTTAGAAAACTAACCCTTTCTTCCAAATTTTCAAAAAATGTGGGCTACTCGTAACGATCACGACCTTGTCCAGCTTCTTTTCCAGAGCCTAAAAGTTCCTTATTTTAATAAAAGGAGATTTTTCAAACCTCCTTCAAGGCGTCTTCAATGGCGGCTAGGTTTGCTCTGGAGTTATTTTAATTTGGCAGAAAATTGGGAAAATCACCTGAACAACGTGATGGGATACGGTATCAATCGATACGGTGAAACGCGCGACTTTTTTTCGCCATCGATGAAAAAAGTTGCGTATCCAGCAGTGGTAAAACCTGAGAAAATAGTTGGATTCGAAATTTTTGTCACAATTTTTTAAAGGCGCAGCGAAAAATCAAGATCGTTGCAAGACCCTTATCATTTTTAGGCTCCGCCCCTAGCTTTCAAACCTTTCTGGTTAATAGTACAAACAGCGCTGGTATAGAATCTCGGCCAGTTCCTCCCAGAATGCGATATTCGGCCGCCAGCATCTCGTTCTTCACCTTCAGGAACTTCTGTAAATAATTGTTGCTCAGGTTAGCTCATAATATTACAGGAAAACCTGTCCCCGCCGCCGTGTTTGCGTCTACATACTTGTCGAACTTCCCTCGGAACTTTTCACCCGCTAAAATCGCTGACGTCACTGGATTCGGCTGACCGGGAGCACGAGAAGGCCGATGCTCGATTTTTATCTTAATTATGGAAATGTGACGTCATCAAAACTATTTTTGGAGAAAAAACTACAGAATTGTTTATATTCGTTTCTATCAAGCAAAATGATGGAGTTTCTCCAAGGTTCTGTAAGGCTCCGCCCCTTTCGAGGATTACTGTAGCCGAAATACGAAAAAAAATCTAACTTTTTTTCTCCGTGGTTCAACTCGAATGAAACTTTTTTTAAACGAAAAAAATGATGCCTGAATGAACACTTTTTCTTGAAATAATTTTTTTCATACTGAACGAAAAATCGATTCTTGCTTGAAATCAGCGATTTTTTCGGTTTTTGAGGTTTTTAGTCAAGACTTCATAATTAACATTAGTTTCTTCACACTCCTCCTCGAAAAAAATTCAAAATTATTTAAATTCAAATTGAGATTAGAAAAAAATAAAAAAAGAATAAACGTCTAAAGCATTTCTAGAATACGAGGTCCCAGAAAAAAATGACAAAACGTTGGTTTTTAGCGCCAAGATAGGAATAAGCGGCATGTCAAATCATAAAAAAATTAAGTCCAAAAATTTAACAATGATAAATCAAACCCGACGGCTTTTTTTCAATTTTCAAAGCTTCCAAAAAAAAGTTTAAAGCTATAAAGAAAAAAAATCAGAAAGCTGTTTCCTCCCAATTTTTCTAGCAGCCTTGTTATTTTTTTATACACTCCGATGTCCTTTAAACTCTCGTTTACCTTTGAAAAAAGTACCTTTCTTACAAGTTTCTAAAAATGAGTATTTTCAATGTATTTTCTCTACTCACATCGAGACCCTGTACAGCTTTGTGAAGCTCTTCCAGCAATTCAGCATTCGCCATCTTCTGAACGCTCTCGCTACGGTAAAAGTCGCGTCGAGCCCATTTCGATAAAGTTGGGATTATTGGACCCTGAATTATTGAAAATACTCAAAAAACTCTCGAAAATATATACTTTGAGATCCAAGTCGGTATAAACAACAAGTGGTGGCGGGACGTCTTCTTCTCGAGCCTGGAATAGTTTTCAAGTGATACATCTTTTCTGGTATCAATTTCAAAAATAGCCTAGAAAAAGGCTGAGGAGCCTATAAATCTGAAACAAAATGAGATAAGCTTCAATTTGAGGCGCTGTCGAAATTGGGAAAGTTTGATTTCGGGCGCTGCCAAAAAGGAAAGATTGAGGAAACAAATTTATGCTAGGCTTCATCTTAAGAGCTTCAAGAGAACTGTTGGAGCATAACGCTTATATTAAGCTGATTCTAGAACGTTCTATAATATTCCATACATGTCTAGTCTCGTTACGTCATAGGGATCATGTGTAAAGGTTTCCCTTGTAGAAAGTTCCACAATCTTCTCATTTGTTTACCTTTCTAGCAGGTTCCACATTGTTCTCGAATGTTCTAATGCTTTCGGGACAGACCTTTAAAATTCTGGAATGTTCCATCTTTTACTCTAATCTCAATACTATCTAAACTCCACCTTTATTCTGGAACATTCCATAATCTTCGGGATTTAAATAGTCTAGTATAGTCTAGTTTCTTGTTACTAATGAATCTTCTACTACAACGTCTTCACTGGCCACCTGCGGGCACAACAGTAATGGGGAAAGTTTCCATTTAAGGCTCTGCCGAAATTGGGAAAGCTTGATTTTGGGCGCTGCCAAATAAAAACGAGCTGAACAAGTAAAACTAAAGGAGTGTCAGAGGCTTCATCTCAAGAGCTTCAACGGAAAGCTTCAACCTAGGTGCTGCCGAATCTGAAGAAGTTTCAAAAGCTCTATAGCCCATTCCGTGCCACGTCGACACCGTATCTCTACCAGGGTTGCACGGAAGTGAAATTTTCGAAAAAGGAAGAAGGAAGACGGGTTACGAAACAAAAAAAATTTTTGCGGAAGACGGAACACGGGTTAAGGAATAGAGAAATTTTTTTGGAGGGGTACGCGGTTTGCAGAAAGTGTTTTTAAAAAATTTATTTATTAGGGAAATACCCTAGAGAGTTGAACCAAAACTATCAGAACAATTTCCCCAAAGAAGATTTTTTAAAATAGTAACGTGAAAATTTCTTTAAAAAAAAATAACCAGTGAGATTTGACTTTCGCAGCCAATTGAAATCATAACAAACTTTCGTAACCTCTGAGTAAATTTTGGTGGAGCTCAACTATCGAGGAGCTTCAAGCCTCTTTCGCAAGGGCCAGGATATCAGCCCCGAGAAAGAGTCTCTCTGACTCGTAGAACGTCAATTGAAGCTGGGATACTTTGATATTGGAATCGAGAAAATAATTGTCCTTCTACGGATAATATGTAGACAAAAATAGCTCCTTCACCATATCAACAGGTGCACACACGACACCGAAAACGCGCATTTTTCTATCAAAAAATGTTTAAAATAAGAGTTGAAGAGCAAAAAGTTTTTAAGGAAGACGGAACACGGGTTAAGGAACAAAACTTTAATTTAAGGAAGACGGAACACGGGTTAAGGAAGAGAAATTTATGCGGAAGACGGGCAACGGAATTCCGTGCAACCCTGATCTCTACTAGAACTCTAGATAAACGCGATTTGAAGGTAGCAGATTCCAGACAAAAATCGAAAATTTCGAGAAAACAGAGTCATTCAAAGACGCATAACTTTTTTTCTAATAGACATAAATCAACGAATCAGAGATCATTCGATGCAGGAAATCATAACGAACAAAAAATATTACAACGTCGACGCCGTATCTCCACTAGAACTCGAGATAAACGGTTTTGACGTATCTCCACTAGACGAACCGTGTGCGCGACATCGATGAGAGCCTCAAGCATCGCTGCGACATTCGTCGCGCCTGGCGCCAACGTCCGCAGCGAATTCCTCGCGTCTCCTTTGCCCCAGAAGACGCCGTATTTGGCACGAGTCTTGCCATTCTTGTCACGAAAAGAATATCCCGTCGTCGTCACTTTTTGCACTTCGGTAGAGCTGAATTTCAAAATAAACGACTTTTTTCAGAAAAAAAAACCTTTCATTCGTCGCCAAAGTCCTCAAAATCCCAAAACTAGCGCCTTTGCTGGTGCTCGCCGAACAAAAAATCCTCGAGAACATATCTCAATATTTCAATGACAGAAAGTCACAGAAAATGCAAATATTCATCGCTATGAAAGCGTTGAACAAGTTTAACAAAAATAAAAAAATACAGAAGCTTTATTGAGAAGCCGGAGATCCCAAAATTTCTACTTGAGGTTGGAATTTTTTCATGAACTGATCTTCATTCATCACAGTCGGACAGGAAAATATTATCTTGTCCTTGGCGTCGGTAAAGTGCTGAAGTTTGACCTGAAAATATGGTTTTACGCAACCTTAAAGCTTTAAAAAATGATTTTAGAGATTCAAAAAGTTTAAAAAAACTTATTATTTTTTCATCATATACATATACAAACGGTAAAATTCTATCTTATCATATATAGACAATTCACGGCTAGCTTGGGACGCAAAAAGGCGTGGCCTGTCTGCACTCTCCACCAACCAGGCAGTGTCTCGTCTCTTTTCGTGGCAGGACCCTTTTCTCGATGGCTCAAGCCAGCCGTGAATCAGCTATACAAACAGTGAGATTTTCACAAAATTCAACGATATAAAAAAGATTTGATGATGCGAATTTCCAAACGCTGTGGAAAATCCACCGTGAACGTGAACAAATTGCATCATCTCTCTATAATTTCTGTTTTGTATTCAATATTTTTGCAATTTTCTTTTTTTATTCTAATCAATCTGTTTAGGACCTCAAGATATTCTTTTTTTAAGACATTTTTTTACGACATAATAGCGACCAAAGTTTGAAAAAAACCAAAAAAATAGAAGCTTCTGGGATAAAATTGAGAATAGCCAGAAAAAAACTAAGATATTTTTTTCTAAATCCCTAATTTTTCAGTAGCTAAAATTAAAAATGTTCCTACTAGGGAATTTTTTTCAGCGCTCGGTTGAACTTTTGATGAAACTTCGCTCTACAACTTCCTGATTCCAAAACGAGAAAAAAAAAAACCAAGAAAAATTTTTTTCCTTGAGTTAAGACGCTTTGAAAGTTTGAAAAGCTTGAAATGTCGCTTTTTTGTCATTATAGGTCATTCCGCGTCAGCTTGTCACGATTTTAATTCTTCTCGAACTCGCATGCTGATCAGGTGTCTCAACGGGTGTACCCGTATTAAACCCGTGTTTCTGAGGTTATTTTAGTCTCAGTTGGGATAAAACGGGGGAACAACGGGTGTAAGAAGAATATGTAACCCAGCTGTGCTAAAGCGGGGTCTCAGTTGGGCTAAAAATTGCCAAAAGTTCTATCAGCTGGGCTTTTACGGGTTTAATACGGGGGCACCCGCTGAGACCCCGTGTTAGCACGGCGGGGTTACCCTGCTCAGCATGCGAGAAGCTAGAGAACCCCTTTCGGCGCTTCGCTTCGATGCTCTCGGTGTTCCCCCCTGCATGCGCCTTTAATAAAACGTCATTTCTGATTAAGATATTGCTTCAATTTCCTCTATCTTCTTTATTAATTTACGAGGTTGTTTTCAATAAGCTGATTCCATTTTTCGCTTCAACTATACCTACTCAGATTCTGGGCTGGATTTGTAAAAAAAAAAGAAAATCAAGAAGATTGAATTACTACTTTTTAATTATTATCAATGAAACCGACTGTTTGAGCTTTTTTTTTGGGTTAGTTTGATATAAAATTTGATGTTACAACTGTTTTTGTAGAATAAGAAAATTCCAAAGTTCGGAAATAATGAGTTTTATTAAAGGCGCACGCAAGGGGGCACACCGAGAGCATCGAAGCGAAGCGCCAAAAAGGCTATTGGAGCTCCAAATAAGCTGGAAATCGTGACAAGCTGGCGCGGAATGACCTATATACAAACTTTGTTGCTTTATAAAAAAATATTTGTTTCAAGAAATTTTTTTCTCATTATAAAATCAGAAGGCCCTAAAGTACACAGAGAAGATCCATAACAAGTCCAAGAAGAAACTGAAAAAGTTCCCTAGTAAGTTTTTCACGCACTTTTTCCAATAAATCATTTTTATACCTTCAAACTCGACTTAGTACTCGTCGTCGCGGTCCACTTCTGTATCACGTCAAAAATCTCCTTCTGTTTATTTGCCTTGTATTTTCCATTCCCAACATCGACCACGATTTTGTTCCCCATCAAGATCCTCAAATGATCGACTCCATAATAGACGCTCTGTAATCAACTTTCGATTTTTTTATAATAATAAAATGGGTCAAAAAAATCACCTGCACCATCCCATAGTACACGGCTTTGACTTCGGCGCAATACGGGTTCATTTCGGGTGAGTTTCGTAAAATAATATTCATGTTTCTAAAGAAAAAAATTGAAAGAATTTTGCTGTATTGTGAAAGCTTATGTCCGCACTTGGAATAGCTCAACTTTGAGGATGTTGCTTGAAAGAGCACCCGACCAAAAACAACTTTCGCGCGGTAAAATCGAAGCGAAGCTCATTTTCAAGTTTTCAAGCCATTCCAAATGCGACCATAACAATTCTACTATAATCACCTATCACTATGTTCTGGCCATCGAATCACAACAAATGGAGTGAACGTTTTCGCTGGTTTTCCTGTGGAAACAGTTTTGAACGGTGCCAGGCCTGCCACACGGACTGTAGAAGCGCTGAGAAAAAAATTTATTTCCGAAATAAAAAAAATATATTTTTATGAATCGAATCACGAAACGGCTCCAAATACGAACCATGCATTGAAAAACCAAACCAAGAATTTAAATTTTTTTAAAGGTTCGGAGAAAGCGGTACTTATTTCGCTATCAAAAAAATTGATTTTTTTCTCCAAAAAAATCCAGGAAATCACCTTCCCCACTTTCTCTGGTTCCTCAAAATCGACAGTTCTTTGCTGGTAGTTGGACGATTTTTAGCTGCTTCAACCAGCCATTTCAACGCGGTTTTAACGCTGAAAACTGTTTTTGTGAATCCCAACCAATAAATTCTCGTTTTTCACCCAGAAAACCTAAAAATATATATAAAAAACTGGCTTTTGATACAGTAATCTGATCATGGTATAAAAAAATATTCATAAAATATTCAATATCGTATGTTTTTAATTTGGATTTTTGATTTCTAGCATTTTTCTTTTTATGTAATGTGTTCTGTGTTCAAAGAAACTTTCGCGAAATTCAAGATTATTTCTGACTCTCCAAAATTAAGTTATATTTTTTCACTTTCTGACGGCTGATTTGAATTTCACAGAGGCGTTTTGAAAGCGGCATTACAAAACTAAACCTCTTTGAAAAAAAGACATAAAAATTTTTGAAGGATTAGCTTTTTCAAAAATTCATCTTGAATCAAATATTTTGAAAAAGTAACCTTTCATCGGAAGATCCAGAAGCAACTGAAGATAATAACCTCTTTGAGAAAAAAACATCTGAATTTCGAAGCAATTTTTTTCAAAATTTACTTTCCAATTTTATTAACTTTAGATGACTTTTTTTCAGTAAAACTTGCAAAAAAATGATCTTAAAAAAAATTAAATTTCAAGTGAATTTCGGCCAGTCACCGAGTAATTTCCTTTTCTCAATGAAAAAAATTTCCTTCTCCAAGAAAAAAACAAATAAATATACAAACTTCATAACAAACATCAAAGAAATACATTAAGCAAAAATCCAAATAATTATTTTCTTAAAAAAATAACCTTTCAAATGGGTTGACTTTTTTTACAAAAAAAGCAACTTTCAAAAAAACAAAAAAACGATAAGTTTATTCCCGCATTTCAATAATTCAAATCAAAAAGGCAAAGACTATTATTAATCCGATTTTCTGTACAATTTGGCGCCTTCTCTGGCCAACCCGTCAGCTTTTTCATTGCCCTCGACGCCGGAATGGCCTCGGACGTGTTCAAATTTCACCTAAAATTGAATTTTTTCAATTTTTTTCCATTTTTTTTTTTTTGAAGTTTACCTTCACTTTCTTCGTCAAATCATCGATGGAGGTGAGAAGATCCTGATTTTTGACCGGTTCGCCGCTTGTCGTTTTCCAGCCGTTTTTCTTCCATTTTTTCATGAACTGCTCCATTGATTTGATGAGCAAATTGGAGTCAGTACGAATGACCAACTTGTCCATTTCGTTGATTTCCGCCTAGAAGCATCTTTTTGGATACTTTCAACTGACTTTCAAATTTCCAAAAATTCTGCCTCTTATTCGAATTATGTTTCATATTACGCTACGGTTGGTAAAAAAGGCAAGTAAAATTACGAAGAAAATTTGCCTTTTTTCTTATACTCCTCAAAATTCAAGGTTTCAATATGTTCGAGACGGTTTTTTGCACAAATCCCTGCAAGAAAAGTATCGAATTTTTTTCATTTTGCAGGAGATTATTTCCGCAAAATAGTGAAATTTAGAATCTTCTCGACCTGATTTAAAAATTTATCAATAGAAAAGTGATTAAGAAACATTTTAAAGGACAAGAAATCAAATTTTCATATTTTAATCTCGAAAAAAACCGTTCGAGCATCGTTTGTGCCTCTGATGATTTTGTGATTTCCTTTTTGATTTATAAAAATTACTTGAATGCCGAAATTTAAATCAGGAGCACACTGCTTATGAACAAAAATAAATCAGACCAAAAATTAGGAAAAAGACAAAAAAATTGGCAAAAAGAAAAGAAAAAGGTACAAAGAAAAAAATGATTCGTTAGGAACAAAAAAATTGAATTTTTGGTCGAAATTCAGCAATCTAATAATAAAGGTGAGAATAAAATCATTTTTTCCTGATCAAATTTGAGAAAAAAAAAGGTCATTTATTGACAAAATTTCCAACTAAATTCACAAATTGATGCTCCTCTGCTTTCAAATCATCGCTAAAAAAGATATGCTCAAAAAAGCCCGCAGAAAGGCAGCAAAGAGGCTCAAGAAATGATAGAAAAAGGGAGAGGCAGCAAAAAAGGAAAATTTCTACGGAGCTTTTCTTTCACCCTTTCTGACTTTTCCTATGATCTCTTTCTGTGATTTCAGGACATGAATTTCTTTCTCGAATTTTCGGACAATTCCTACCGTCTCAAGGGCCTTCTGAACCGCCAAAAGTTCCCCTCGATTATTCGTCGCAGGGCCATGAACGGCTCCAAAGGCGTTCCACTCATGGTTATCGCCCCAATAAATGCCCCATCCGGCTTTGGCATGGCCTTTCCCGTTGTTCGAACAGGCTCCGTCCGTGTAGACAACCTTGGCGTCTTCAAAACAAACGGATGGGGTTCTGGAAACGTTCAGAATGATTTCTATCAAAAAATGGATCAAGTTACGGTTTTTTCGGTTGCGGAACAAGGTCAGAGGCTGGGAGTTTCCTTTTTTGGCCTGGTTTTGGACCTCGGGACTCTGAGGGAGAGCTAGTGGAGAAACTCACTGAAATTTCAAATTTTATTGATCAAATTAACCGCAAGTTCTTTACGATTTAGGATAATCGAATAAAACCCCTATAAGGGCCGAAAAAGCGATCCCTATAGGGGTAAAATCAAGGTGGTCCCTAGAGGGGTTTAGAGGCATATCCGTTAGCCCCTAAAGCTCAAGTGGACCCTCAAGGGGTCTCTCAAATTCATTCAAAAAACGTTTATTTATTCAGTTTTTACCGTTGAAAGGCTTCTTCGCTTGAGTTCATAACAATCATCGACTAGCATGACCCCTATAGGGACCACTATACTGAAAAAAAAAACCCTATATGGATTTAGTAAAGTGGCCTCTAGAGAGGACGCTCCAAAGGCCCCCAAGGTTGCCCCTATAAGGACCACTCTGAAGTTCTGGAAGAAATAAAGTCTGCATCAGGCGGTGTATACGTACTCTATGCCGACCGAAATCCGAAAACTAAACATTTTCGTGTATTGGCCGAAATTTCATCTTTATAAATTAAGCAAAACGAGGTTTTTATTCAAATACAACAACACAGCTATGAAGAAAAAAAGCTTCAAAACTACAAAATTTCGTTTCAAAATCAAAATTCCCACCAACCGGAAGCGCCGGTTCCACCGTTTTCGGCAATGAATCGAAGCGCTTCGGCTTCCGTGTCAAACTTTTTGAACCTTAGGGCGCAATTTTATTGATAATCACATGAAAAAGAACGGATAACAAACCTCGCATTATTAAAGCCATTGACCTGAGACTGGCACTCGGGCCAAGTGCGGTATACGCCAACATTTCGGCCCCGCGCCACTGCGTAATACCCGCCTTTGGCCATTTAAAGCAAGCCAAAAGCTTGGAGAGTCGTTCAATCTCAATGAAAAAGTTACAATCTTTAAGGAATAAACGTTGCGAAAGCCTCGGGCATAGTCAGAATGACGGATAATGGCTGCTAAAAGGGAGAGGCTCGAAAAAGGCAGCAAAAAAGGTCCCTTTATGGAGCCTTCCACATTTTCTGGGACTTTAAAGGTTCAAGAAATGGTGGAAAAAGGGAGAGGGAGCAAAAATGAAGCATAAGAGCCGATGAAACGGCGCAAAAAGGCAGCAAAAAAGGAACATTTCTGGAGCCTTTTTCCACCCTTTCCGACTTTGCCTATGGCTGAAAACGTGTCAAAAAAGTTAAATTATATTAAGCTAAAAAATTTTAATGGCGTGTGAATCAGAGAAACGGAACATGATTCAAAACGCAAAATTGTTCATCATCGGCACCTCAAAGTTGCTCCAAAACAGTATGCATTTTTGTTTTGAAGCAAATTTTTTACGTTTTGAAACAAATTTCATTTCTTTCCCTAGAACACGCCAAAGACAACTGTTCGGAGAATTTTCGAAATGAGAAAAAAAATTTTATTTTTTTGAAAGCGAAGATTCACTATTTTTTTCATCTGAGCATTTTTCAACCAGATACAACATTTAAAAAAACCGGAAATTGCAAATTTTTAGGAAGAACTTGAGCTTTTCAAATTTAAAAAAAGGCTTGTGAAAATGTTTTTCCTAGAAGTTTACTTGAATAGAAATACTCTAAACAAGAAAGATATTTAAAAAAAAATTTTGATTTGCCCTAGATTTCGCAAAATTTTCGCTTCATTTTTTTAAAAAGCTATACCAAAAAAATAATACTCGATCAAGGAAAAAAAAAAGAATCATTAAAAATACTTCCACAGGCTTTCCAACCAAAAAACTTCCACGGTAAAACAAAAAAATGACTTTAAAAAGGCACGGCAACATTCATTTCACCTAGAAATTTGCACACACGAGTTAAATGAAAATGACAAAAAAGAATAAAGCATTATGCAAAATTAAGTAGTAGGTGAGATTATAAGGCAAGTAAAAAATATAAGGACACGCTTTAAAAAAGGCTAAATACATGGGTAAAATACATTTCTAGTTGAAAAAAACAACAAAGTCATTTTTTTATTTCGATTTTTTTCTTCTTGGAATCGGCGCTCTCGGCTTCGCCACTTTTTGCGCTTCTGAGCTTTTTCCTTCAGATTCTGCCTAAAAAAATGAGAAATTTCTTTCGCTTTGAAATATAATTTCATTAATTTTTCCATGCGCCTTTAATAAGAGAACTTTTTTCTTTTTTTATGTCAAAACCCACCGATTTCCCAGCCGGATTCGCCCATTTCTCCACAAATTCTTCAGCTTCTTCCTGGCTTTCGAATTTTTTGAATTTGGCGCCTTTGAAGTCCGCCGTTTGAGCCTTGCATTCGTCCCAGGTGGAGAATCTAAAAAATTGATGAAAATAGGCAAAAATTGTCGAAATTAAACGAACACTCCAGTTTTGTGGCCTCTAGCAACGGCATAAAATGTCGGTGGGCCTTCTTTGCTTTTTGCAGAGGTTCTTTTTTTGGCCTCGAGCTTTCCTCGGCTGAAATACCCAAGTTTAACTTTCAATAAAAACAGAAAATATCTAGAAAAGCATAAGTTTCTGTCAAAAATCAACTTCTTCCCATAAATTTTTCTACTTTTTTTCATGAGATTACAGAGAAAACTGAGCTTATAAGGCAAATTATCTTGTTAAAACATCCAAAGATTGAAAAACTAGCCAGTAGTGTTTGAAGTAAAGTTGAAACTTGAGAAAGAAAAAAAATATTAGAGTGAAATTTTTTAGTTAAAAATCTGATAAAAAATTGAAACAGTGGTTTTTTTTTGCAAAAAGAGACAGCTTCTTCAAATATTTTAATCAAATTTTCCATAAATGCAGAAATTTCTATCCCCAAGCTAACAAAATGCAAAACGAGAGGTTCAAAAAGTTAAAAAAATCACAATTTCAACCATCTAAAAAAAGATTATCAATATTTTACTAGTGAAAAGACAGCTTCATAAATCTTTTTCTGAAGGTTTTTTTATAGCGGAGAAATTTTTTTAATGGTATAAAATAAGAGAAAAAAAGTCGCTCTCCGGCTTGAAACCTTCATAAAAAAAATGTCTTTATGCAACAAAAAGTTGATTTTTTTCGAACCAAAAATATAGCCAAAGAGCCATTATTTATTAAAATTAAAAAAACCAAAACTACCTTCGCCCTGATAATATCTTTTGAAATAAGCGACGGCTTCCTCCAAATTGTTGAACTTTTTCTGCATCGGCTGTGGATAATCAGCAATCTGAAAAATTATCATCAAAAGTATTGATAGTAGGAAGGAATTTTGGGTTCCCGAATATTCGTGAGCGTTAATTGTGCATACACCAATCTTGGAGGCTCGAATCTTTGAAAATTTGAATCTTTGAAATCGATTCTTGGGAATATTCACCTCTGGGAAAATTCCAGAATCGCCCCCCACACTGTTTTTGCCCCCCGCGTTCCAACAAGCCCCCCACCAAGCCAAGTTCCGATCTGTGGGGGGTAAAATAGGAGGACTTCATGTGGGGGGAAGAATCGAACGCGGGGGGTGAATATGTATTCTAGAATGGCCCCCCACAGTACAAAACGGGGGGCGATTCTGAAATGCCTAGGCAATCTTTCATATTTGCCGCCCGCACGGCTTTGAAATAGTCCCCCCAGAGCTCATTCGAACAAGCCCCCTCCCATTTCAGAATGGCCCCCTCCATTTCAGAAAGGCCCCCTCCCATTTCAGAATGGCCCCCCTCTATTTCAGAATGACCCCCCTCTATGTTAAGTATTTTTATTTATTTGACGCATTTTTTTCACTGTGGCTCAGTTTTTTTCGAAGCGAGCCACAGTCGGCTTCGCGCTATGCGCGCTCCGCCTCCGTGTGAAGCCTTAAAACTAAGCCTATTTTCCTAAGTAATTTATTAATTAATGTGCATGAAAAGAAAAAGCAAAAAATTCTATTGCTCAGAACAATTACTTGATTGAAAACTAATAAAGTTCTTAAATTTTTCTAAGTGGTCAGCGCCCCATAATTTTATGATATTCGTACGTATCTCGGCGAGACGTACCCGTAAACTTCTTTGTCTGGCTTGAACTTCTCATGAAACTCGGTCAGCGACCAAATTTCTTCCATGGTCTAAAAAAACAAATCACAAAAAAATTATTAAATTCACAAAAAGAACACGAATTTACATGCGAAAAATACAAAAAAACCATTTGAAACAACCAAGAACGACGAATGATACGAAAAAAATTAGAAAAATAAATTTAAAAAAATGGAAGCTCTGACACGTGTCCTGCGTGATCGTTGCGTGACTTTTTTTCGGTGTGGGGGTTATACTGAATAGTTCCGGGGGCTATATTGGATAAGTGTGGGGGGCTTGTTCGAACGTGTCGCGGGGGGTGATATCCAACATATGCGGGGGGCTATACCAATAATGAATACTGTATGATTTTTTTCAACTTACTTTTTATCAATTAATGCGTCTTTCTCGCATACACGAAGTCAAAGATTCACTGCAGCCGCCTACCACATTTTCATTAACTCTGTGTACATTCTCCATCAACTTCCATTTACATATAAAATTGGAAAAATTATAAAAAATCAGAAAAGAGGTGAATATTCCCAAGAATCGTTTCCAAAGATTCAAATTTTCAAAGATTCGAGCCTCCAAGATTGGTGTATGCACAATTAACGCTCACGAATATTCGTGGACCCGAAATTCCTTCCTACCATCAAAGTATTTTTTGATCCAGAAAACATACGCTTTTCTTCACATCGTCATAATTTGTGAAAACGCCGACAGTTTTTCCTCGAGCCACTGTATAATAAGTAGCGAGGTCGGATTCAGGGAATGAGGCTGAAAAACTGACGAAATTCGAAAAATAAATCAACTTTAAACGTTCTGTAAGACCTTGCGAATCAGATTTCTTCCGTGTTTCTTCACAAAAATCAAAAATAAGAAAAAAAAAAGCCTTTTCGAAATTTTCAAGGCCATTTCCATCCTCCTACTCACTTTTCTCAAAAAATTTCATCTTTCCATACTTTTTTTAATATTTTTTTACACTCTTAAAAGAGACTTTTTCCAACTGAAAAAAATCACTGGAAGCTTGAAACCAAAAATTCAACAAAAAAACTCTTTTTTTAAATTTTACAATCTAATAAAATTCGAATCCGTGATGAAAAAAATGATAAAAAAATAAGAGGAAAAAAATAAAGATTTTATGATTCTAAACAACTGTAAACTCACTATCAACCTTATCAGCTTTCCGTTCATCGACATATTTCTGAGCTTCTTCCTCCGTTCCGAACTTTTTGTACACCGGTTGGGGAAAGTCATCGATCTGAATCGAAATGAAAAATACTAGAAAAATAAAAATTTGCTTTAAACAATATTGGAAAAACACCAATTTCTCAAGCAAGTTTTCAAATCAAGCAAAAAAACATTTTTTTTATCGAGTCGAAGAAAAATAAAAACTTTTTTACACGGCTCTTTCATTATGCCAAGTTCGAAGTTATTTCCGCAAAAAAATTATCTTTAACTCTCCCAAATATAGTTATAGCTGATTCATGGCTAGCTTGAGACACTATGAGGGCGTGTCCTGTCTGTGCTCTCTACCAACCAGGCACTATCTCTTCTCTTATCGTGTCAGGACCCTTTTTTCGATGGCCCAAGCCAGCCGTGAATCAGCTATATCTTTCTTTTTCTCTAACGGCTATTTTCAATTTCACGAAATCGTTTTGAACACGGCATTCAAAGAAAACTCCCACCTGTTTTTTGGCTTCGTTCCAATCCGTGAAAACGCCTCGCTCAAAACCGTGTGCGACGCCGTAAAACTTACTCATCTTTTGAAAACTCAAAATTTCGAAACATTCATGATTCACAAAAATAATAGAGAGCTGCACCACTCTTCAAAAACCTTTCGAACCAATATATTTTGAAGATAGGAAATTTATAAACTTGCTTTTGACAAGGCACTGTACAAACGGGTTATGAATAGGGAAAAATGTACAAAATTTATGGAAGCCGTAGAAAAACATGATTTTTCAAACTCATTCAGCGCTAATTTCCCAAAAAGGTCATAATTTTTTTTTCTGTGACTAGCTAGTTTCGAATGAAAAATGAAAAATGGTGCGAAAAAAAAATTCAAGACAAGAAAAGATATATCAAACAGAAGAGAGAGAGAGAAAAATCGAGACAAGTGGAAAGGGGGCAGTTAAAACTCAAACCAATGGAAAAAAAACGTTGAATTTTAGACAATAAAAGCTTCAATTTTACAAAAATAAGCGAAGGAAAAATTAATCACGAAGTTGGGCTAATCGCTGTGTCATGGCGTCCAAATCGGGTTCCTCGACTCTTGCAGAAGTGTCGCCGAGTTTGTCGGAAACCGCCTGAGGCGCTTTTCCGAGTTCTCCGGCGGTAACTTCCCAGAGGATTCTCTCTACTTCTTCCTGGAATCGTCAAAAATGAATTTAATACACTTGAGAACGCCTGAAAATTAAAGAAATAAAAGGAAAAAAGGAAGATAAACCAAAAAATCACTGAAAAAATGCCAACTTTCGGGAAAGTGTAATATTTTTTTATTTCGACATATTTTCTACAGTGATTCTTTCTTAAGTTATTTTAAAGTTAGAATAAAACGATTAAAAAGATTTTTCATTAAAACTATCGAAATTTCGGATTCTATTACTCCTTAAAGTTCGTTATGAACATCGCCTTATAATAAAAAAAAACTTTAAGACCAAATAATCTGGAAAAAGGCTTGTTCATCACTGAAGCCAAGATATCCTGGGAAACATGATAAATTCAATTTTCAGTATTCATTCGAAGTAAAAAAGACAGTTCAATGGCAAAAACTACGACTAAATGGAAGAATGAGTGACAGTAGAAAGAAAAGGCGCGCTGAGAATTTCAAGGCCAAAAAATAAGAGAGTCAAAACAAGATAGTAAAATCAGAAATCTTTGAACTATTCCATTACAAACCTCGGCTTTTTCTTCCAAATCTGGCGGTTCCACACTTTCCAAAGTCTCTTCAATCATCTCCTCCATAATTCCCAGCTTCATCATCTCTTGGGACATTTCTCGCATCGATTTCATAATCTCAGGCACCTAAATTCAAAAAAAAAGTCAAGACTTCTGGAAAATCAACAAACTTTAATTAAATTCTGCATACTTTGCATGACCTGAGTGGATTTTTGTAAAGACCCTGCCATCCTCATCGTCGCTAATTGCTCCTTAATTCAAATTTGAGATAGTAAACAATCAAAATTTTTTAAAAACCTGCATACACATAATTACGGAGTTGATTTGAGCCTTGCTCACGTGGATTTTTGATTGAGCCTAAAAACATTTCAACTTTTAACCAATTTTAACCTTTATAAATCTAACTTTTCTGGATTGGACCAAAGATTTCGCGAGAATGACGCACACATCGCGGTCTCCCTTTTTGGCAGCGTCTTTGATTTCTTTCGTCACCTTAAAATATATACTTTCTATCATAACTTTCTGAATTATTACCTTTTGTTCCTCTCTTTGAATTGCATAAACTTGACGATCCAGTGTTCGCATTTCCTGTCGCATCTTTCGTTGCAACTCTCTCACTTGTTCTTTTGGGTCTTTTTTCTTTCCGAACAAACCCATCATGCTGAAAATTTGTTTATGATGATATGTTATAGTTAAAAACATCTTAAAATATCGTACTAAAAACAAGAAACCACTGAAACATGGAAGAAAAGTGGAAGAAAACAATTTGGCTCGTAAAAATATTTTTGAAATCAACAATGGCAAATTTTGCAAATTGCTCGCGACTGAATATGCAAACTTGGGGCACGCTTTATTCGAAATCGATTTGAAAATTTTGGGTCATTTTTCGCGTTCCCTTGCTCTTTCTCTCCTTTTCGCAGCGTTCTTCTTGTTTTCTTCATATCCATTAATACTTCGTATTCAGAACTTTTTGACGAAACTGGGTTTTTACGGATTCTACATCATTCGATGCAAAATTTTTCGAAAAAGAAAAACTTTAATCCATTCCGTTTCTTTGACTTGCAATTTCTCTTCAAATTTCAACAACTTTTTTTTTTCAATGAACGTTTATTTTTCAAAGAAAATACGTCACAGTTATCTCTCTTTAATCAGTTTTTGTTTCTATTCAAATTTATTTTTTTACAGGGACTATCGCATAAGCTTCGCCGATATATGTCTATCTCAAATCTCAACAGACCAGCAGGTACGGCCGAGTTTCAAATGAAGAATTGATGATAAAAATGTAAAAAAAAAAGTTCCAAAATTTATAAAAGCGTAAAAACGTGGCGAATTTCACGTTTCATTTCCATTTTTCCTTCAATATGCTTCTTTCTCTTTATATTATTTTGATGATTTATTTTAGGTTGTATTAATTGTTCTGTATGGATATTTTTTTCAAGGTCATTAGTTTGCTTTCAAAAGATCAGTAGTTGACTCAAAATAATAAGCCGTTTTTTTGCCTGATAATTTTTTTCTAATTTAATCATTTTTTTAATTACTTGACCTAGGATATTTCGAACAGCCTATCAAGCCAATGGTTGTTTTAAAACTTATAATTTATGAATTTTTTTAGACGCGTTCGAGCAGCTTGAGCAAGAGGACGGCGTTCGTCAAGGAGTTTGCCACATTCGTATCCAGCAGCGTACCGGTCGCAAGACCATCACCACCGTCCAGGGAATCGGCACAGAGTACGATCTCAAGAGAATCGTTCAGTACTTGAGAAAGGTATATATTTTGAAGTTTTGGAGGTTTTCTTGAACCGCCGAATGTGTTGCTTTTTGTTCTCTTTGTGGCTAACAACATTTTTGGGTGCTAATAATTGTGCGGTCTATTTTTTTTTGAATAATTTAAGAAATTAGTATATTTTAGAATGATTGCTGGAGTGCTTAAAAGGGCGGAACCTAAGTAATAAAGGTCCCGGGCACAATGCAAAAAGTGTTTTTGAGGATATATGAGAACATCAAAAAATATTTGACGGCCAAAAATTGTCCCCAAAGAACGAAAATACCAAAATTTATCTTTTTAGGGCATTGTAAAACTTTCCATAGTTATATGCCTCTTATTTCCTCTCCAGATCTCCTCGTTCTCTGATCCTCCCACCTGAAAGCGACACATACGGCTTCGAAAACCATCCTTTTTTCGATTCGCATTACCAAACCGTATGTGTTGCTTTCAGTGATCGCAATGATGTCCTCATTCCGAGTTTGGCTCCTTCTCGCCCTTTTCCGCTTGTTCTCCGTCTACCTGGTGGTATCCTGGTTCGTGCCCGACGAGATCTACCAATCCACCGAAGTCGCTCATCGGCTCGTCTTCGGCGTCGGCCATATCTCTTGGGAATGGACCTATGGGCTTCGTTCTTACCTTCATCCAGCAATAATCGCCGTGTTCTTCAAATTGCTTCAATTTTTCGACTTCGATTATCGATTTCTTGTTTATCAATTGCCCAGAATCATCCATGCTTTGTTGTTTTCTCTGGGTGACATTTCCTACTATCGCCTGTGCTATCGGCTCTCGAAAACCTCCAGAATCGCTCTCTTCTCCTTCGCGAGCTACCTCACCTGCTGGTTCGTCTTCTACTGTGGGCCGAGGACGCTGTCGAACTCCCTGGAAACGTCGCTCACGCTCATCGCGCTCACCTGGTTCCCATTTGAAGGCGCCCACGAACACGCTTACACGATCCCCTACATCGTAATTGGCTTGGTGACGATCATCATTCGGCCCACCGTCGCCTTGATCTGGATCGTCTTCGGCATCCATCACTTGACGTACTGCTGGTCAAAACTTTATGTGGTGTTTGCCCTCGTCGTCCCTACTACCATCACTGTAATCGGCACCTGTGTCGTCTTCGAATCGTTGGCTCTCGGCGAGCTGAATCTGCCGCTGTGGAACTTCCTCTCCTTTAACGTGCTCAAAGGCGGAAGCGCCATGTTTGGCGTCCATCCTTGGTACTGGTACTTCACCGAAGGTCTTCCATCAGTCTTGTCCGTCCAGTTCTTCCTGGCCGTCTTCGCTCTCATCGGATTGCATCCACTTCTCCCGAGTTACCTGCCATTTTGCGCCTCTGCTGTCTACGTGGTTTTCCACTCGTTCCTACCGCACAAGGAGCAACGTTTCCTGCTTCCGATCATCCCCTTCTTGTGCCTCTACACCGGCGTCGCCATCGACAAGATCCGCGTTTCCTTCGGTCGGGCCAAGCTGTTTCCATTGCTCTTCACGATGTTCTTCATCAACGCCATCATCGCTCTTGTCGCCTCGCGCTATCATCAAGTCGGACCGTTCCAAGCTTCTCACGCCGTTATCACACAAGCTGCTGAATCCGGCAAGTCGTTCTCCATCGCCGCTCTGATGCCGTGCTACTCATTGCCTGGTCACTCCTATTTCCATCACGATGTCAACAAACTTCGCATGTTGGACTGCTCTCCTGACATCAGTGGAAAACGAGCTGGGAAGCCCGACGAAGCTGACACCTTCTACGCCAATCATCAGCAGTGGCTTGAAGACGTCTTCGAGAATGAACATCAGCAGTACGACAGGATTCTGATGTATGAGAAGACCTATTTGAGAGTTGCCGATTGGTTCACTCGCCGTGGCTGGATTGACTGTCACCGTGCTTTTCATTCTTATATCCTTACGTCATCTAGAGAAGATCATTATATCGTTATTTTGTGCCCTTCCTCTTGAATTTTCGTTTCTACGTGTTACTGTTAAATGTGATAATAATAAATTGCAAACTGAAACGAGTTTTTTAGCCGGAAAATTTGATGAAGCTCAAAAGATTTGTTTCTTTTACTCTTTTCTTCAGAAGCACAGTTGCAATGGAACCATTGTCGAGCATCCCGAATTCGGAGAGGTTATCCAGTTGACCGGTGATCAGCGTGACAAGGTCAAAGACTTTTTGATAAAGGTGAGCTTACTCATTTGAAATTGAAAGGTTGAAAAAATATAATTTTCAGGTCGGAATCGTCAAAGAGGAAAATTGTCGTGTGCACGGTTTCTGAACGACTTTTCTGGGATATTTGCTTCTCTCACTTTCTCTCTTCTCTTTTCGTGGTTTCTTTCCTCAAATTTTTATGATTTTATTCTTTTTTGTTGGTTTTCAAAAACGAATAAATATTTTCGGTTAAAAGACGGAAAAAAAGGAGATTCGCGTTTGAAATGGCTCTGGAGGAATTTTACGTGCGGCCAAAGATTTTTCAAAATATCACGAATAAGAGATATAAAACTATACAATCGAGACGGACCGGGGCTACGATTTTCAAGAAATTGATTTCAATTAAAATGACCCATATATTAGGTTGATCTGTACAGAAAAAAAAAAACGCACACACACACTTGAACGACTAGTTTCTCGCTTGAATCATCGGGGAGGGGGAGAGAATCATCACAATTTCGAAGAAACCCTGGGTAGATATCTAGGCGTCGATTTCGAAAAGTCGCGAGCGTCGGTGGTGGAAGTCGTGGGGGTAGAGGCGCGAGCGGCGCTTCGGCGTCTGGAATTCCTCGCAGCGACGACTTCCAAACACGAAGTTGCGATTCTCGTCGATCTGATTGTTGGTTTCGGATTAATTTCGGGTGTGGGTCCCTTTTAAAATTTTTTTATGATAAGCGGGGTTTTTGAAAGGGGTCTCTAGTCACCTAGAATATCTTCAAAGGTCCAATATCACTTCAGGGGTTTCTCCAGTTGTTACTGGGAATCTTACTACTTTATTGAGCACTTAAGGGACCACTCAAACCGTCTTCTGACTTCAAAGCTGTCGAAAATTGTCAAATCGCTTTTGAAAAATCTTTTAAGAGTCTAAGGGCATTTGGAAGAGCTAGAAGGGTCTAATTTCACTTTAGGGATATCTCAAATCGTTTTAGAAATCTAGGACGTCTGATAATGTCTATCACTACTTGAGGGACCACTCAAAGCCTTTTCTGGTCACAAAAGTGTCAAATAACCTTTCAAAAATCCCTCAATGGTCATGTGGTCATTAGAAAGCGCTAGAAAGGTCTAATTTCACTTAAGGGATTACTCCATTTGTTCCTAAAACCCTAGGACGCCTGAAAATGTCTATCACTACTTAAGGGACCACTCAAAGCGTTTTTTGATCACAACAAATGTCAAATAACATTTAACGAATCCCTAAATGGTCCTGTGGTCATTGGAAAGGGCTAGAAGGGTCTAATTTCACTTAAGGGATCTCTCAGAAAGGCTTTTCGCTTGCGAAAAGTCTATCTTCTGATACGGCCAGGCCAGAAAAATTCAAGTGATCCCTTAAGAGGTTCTGAGGCTCATCTTCAAGGCTTCTAGATCCCAGAGACATTTTTTCGAAGGTCTAGAAACGCTGAACTCTGCTCAAACTCCTATAGAAACCTTGGTCAGTGCCGTTGAATGTCGGTGTTTGACGGTGAGCTTCTCCTCGGTGATCAGGCTGCTGGCAGAGGTGGACCAGTCGTTCCGGTGCCACTGGACAAAGTGCAGCGGGACGGGGAGGTGCTCCTGGAGCACGGAATGATGCGTGACGAGCATCTGAACGCTGGCGAACAGCTTCTGCGCTCCCTGAAATGTATGTCCATATTTGGCGTCAGGTGCATACTCGATCAAACTCCAGTCTATTCAAGTGTTTATGGGGCTAATCCGCTGTTGCGTCGGGACAAAAAATGTGTTAATATTTTGTAGGATTGCAGGAAAATAGCGTGACTCTTATGAAATCAAAAATTTTTGCGCTAAATCTCAAAATTATAATGATTCCTCGGCTTTTCAGGACAAGCTAACTCATAAATCGGTTTGACCATGGAGCGCACATTCCCCTTTAGAGGCCCAAATCAGAAAACTTTTGAAAAATGGAACATGCTGGGAAAATTAGTGGTCACTATAGAGGCTCGCCAAGAACTACTTGAAGAGGACACTAAAGTGGCCACTGAACCGACCTCTATAGTGACCACTATTTTCCGTTTTAGTGGCCACTTTAGTAGTTTTTCATCCAGTATTCCTTCCAGTAACTCTGATAATTAAAAAAAAAATTGGACCAGTTATGTTGATCCATTGATCCCTAAAGTGGCCACTAACATTTTTAGTGGTCTAGTAGTAGCACTTAGAACTCTTTAGTGACCACTAATTTTAAACCACTCAAGTGGGCACTAATTTGACTACTATAGTTAGGGACCGCAAAGCCACGCCCCTTTTCGCGATAGAAAAAGTGGCTTTTTTTTGGTTTTCAACTTTCATTTTGATGTAGTTGTAAAATATGTGGAACTGGCAAATAAAATTTGACACACTTGTACAGAAAAGCTTCCTCTTTCGTTTAAAAAATATTTCACGCTTTTTTTGATGCGTTCGCGCGGAATGTCGTACAAAAAAACGTGAATGGAACTAAAAAAATTTTTGTCGTTTTTTTGCTTTTTTTCATGTGTTTTTCAGGTCGAACGCACTTTTTTTCTTTTTTTAAATAATGATTTTTGATTCAAGTAACGGTAATTTTAAAACAATAAAATAAAAAAAATTCGTCTTTGCCAAAAAAATTTTTAGGGAGTGCCGAAAGTCGTAATTCAAAATATCGTTAATATGCGAATATAATCGAGTTTTTCTTTTTTCAAAATTTAGATCACGGGCTTACTTAAATATTTCTCCACAGAATATGTGCTTGAAAAAGTTGTTTAATACGCAAAAATGCTCTTGAAACTAGAGGATAAAATTAGCGGCGTTTATCACACAGAAAGCGGTCGAACGCAGGTTTTTTAAACGATTATATACATTTATTAGTAAAAAATCTTTCAATTAAAAGAATAAAATAAAAAATTCGTCTTTGCCAAAAATTTACGGGGCCGTTTTAATGCAGCGATCGTTAAACGAGGCAAAAAGCACTAAAAAAAACAGTTTTTTTCGAAGTGAATTTCCACGAACCGTTTGAGTAAAGATTTGCAAACATATTCTGATAAAAAAATAGCTAAATTACTTCAAGTTTTTTTCTTTTTTTGAAATAGACAATCTGTGCTATTCAAACGGCTCAAGGGTATGGCGGATGGAAGCTCCCCGCGTTGGACCTAACAGCTTGGCGCAACGCGTGCGCTCCGATTTTACATTTTGAGGTAGCGAGTTCGATGCCCGCAAGCGGCAGTTTTTTTGTTTTTCTGGAAAATACCGACTTTTTTTCGACAAACTAGCTGATTAGCATCATTTTAGCACTCTAGTATGATTTGTTACATCATAATAGACCAGTATCAAAATTTGTTCTAGAAGAAAAAAATCGAGAAAAAAATGTCAAAAAAATGGATAATACCAAAATTTCAGTACTAAAAAAATGGTGCGCGGCGCGCCACCTTTTCCGTCATAACTTTTTTCATCCTCAATCTTTTTTGAAAAACTAAACGGTTCTGAGTTTTGAATCGAAACAGCTATCGAACCATACAAAGCTCAATGCTGAAAAAAATTTTTTGAAAATTCGTCTGCGGTCCCTAACTATAGTGGCCACTAAAACGTCAAAACCCTATAGTGGCCACTGAAGATTTTCCCAGTGAACAGTGTTATCTATATTCCAACCTATGGCGGCTATTTTTTCCCTCTTAAGAAGAATCTCAATTGAAAACCAACCTTCATGAATCGGTATCCATGCTCGTTGCGAATGATCAAATAATGGGAAATTCCCGACGGGTTGTGACTTGGCGGAACTCGGAGCGATAACGCCAGGCAGCGTCGTTTCGATTCGCTGTATCTGACGACGAAGGCTCCTTCCGGCTGCGACAACAGGTTACGCATGAGGACGTCTCTGAAAAATTGAGAAGGTTTTAAGCTCTGCCAAAAGTAAAATGAGCAATCGTTGGTAAGTCTGAGTCAGAAGCCTTGATTCTAGGCGCTGTCAATTTTATCGATCTTTATTTTGCTTGCAGCTAAATTTGACGGACTTAGGAATTCCAGAGTGGTCCATTTAGGGGTTAGAGAAGAAAAAAGCCCCTACAGGGACCGAAAAAGTGGTCCCTATAGGGGTGAAACTGAAGTGGTCCCTGTAGGGGTTTTGAGTGTGATCCCTTAGCCCCTATAGGGATCTTTCAATTTTATCCAAAAAAAAACTTTTTTAACCCTGGAAAATTTTCTTCGTTTAGAGTTCCTAGCATGTCCCCTATAGGGACCACTTTTGCAAGCTTCAGTGGTCCCTAGGGCAGACCCTCCAAGAGCCTCTAAGGCTACCTCTTTAGGGACCACTCTGGAGTCCTAAGAAGAGCTATGATTTATCGAGCTTTATTTTTGCTTGCCGCTCAATTTGAAGAACTCAAGAGTTTCAGAGTGGTCCCTACAGGGGTTAGCGAAGAAAACAACCACTAAGGCCGAAAAGTGGTCCCTATAGGGGTTTAGAGTGTGAATCCTTAGACCCTGAAGCTCAAGTGGGCCCTATAGGGGTCTCCCAATTTCATTCAAAAGGTTTTTTTTTAGTTTTTCGTATGGAAATGCTTCTTCGCTTAGAGTTCCTAGCATGTCCCCTATAGGGGCCACTAACTGAAACCCCTATAAGGACCACGCAAGCTTTAATGGCCCCTATAGGGGTTTTAAAGCGGTCTCTAGAGGGGACCCCCCGGGCCCTAAGGCTGCCCCTTTAGGGACCACTCTGAAGTTCCTAAGAAGAGCGATGATTTATCGAGCTTTATTTTTGCTTGCAGCTAAATTTGAAGAACTCAAGAGTTTCAGAGTGGTCCCTATAGGGGTTAGCGAAGAAAACAACCACTAAGGCCGAAAAGTGGTCCCTATAGGGGTTTAGAGTGTGAATCCTTAGACCCTGAAGCTCAAGTGGGCCCTATAGGGGTCTCCCAATTTCATTCAAAAGGTTTTTTTTTAGTTTTTCGTATGGAAATGCTTCTTCGCTTAGAGTTCCTAGCATGTCCCCTATAGGGGCCACTAACTGAAACCCCTATAAGGACCACGCAAGCTTTAATGGCCCCTATGGGACCACTCTGAAGTTCCTAAGAAGAGCGATGATTTATCGAGCTTTATTTTTGCTTGCAGCTAAATTTGAAGAACTCAAGAGTTTCAGAGTGGTCCCTATAGGGGTTAGCGAAGAAAAAAAACTACTATAAAGGCCGAAAAATGGTCCCTACAGGAGTTTAATGTCTGAACCCGTAGCCACTAAAGCTCAAGTGGGCCCTACTGGAATGTCCCTATAGGGTTCACTTTTGCAAGCTTTAGTGGCCGCTAGAGGGGTTTTAAAGTGGTCTCTAGAAGGGACCCCCCAAGGGCTCTAAGGCTGCCCCTTTTGGGACCACTCTGGAGTTCCTAAGAAGAGCGAAGAAAGATCAATTTTAGCCAATTTTTTTTTTGAACTTTTGGGCACTGCCTGCAAAAAAGCTTGAAATCAAGGTGATCCTACTAAAATTTGAAAATCTTCAAGAATCTTTCTGTAAAGCTTTAAAATGTACTAGAGAAACTTTCTGAATCAAAATTTCAACACAAATATTCAATGTCACGACTTTTTCCTTCTATAAGCATTAAAAAAATTATGTAGTCCCCATATTGGTCAAACAAGCCAGCCAAAAACCGCAATACCACCACAAAAAAGGTCATTAGAGGGCAAAGGGCTGTGGAATTCCAATCCGTATGTCGACAGGTGTCTTATGTATTCCATCTCGGGCCATTTTTTAATTATCCTTGTGTCGGGTTTTGACGTTTGCGGTTTTTTTGAATGAGTTATAAAATAATTGTCAGGTTCAATATTGATAAAATTTCAAAAAGAATCATGAAAAAAATTGAACTGAAAAATTTCTTAAACTTCAAAAAAATACTTTCAGAAAAACTTTTTAAAAAGCATTTTAGGATGAAAAAAATCCCATTTTTCTTATCAATTTCGCCACTTTCCCAACTCAAAAATTTGACCGTATTCATACGTGGGCGGCGGTTAAATTTAATAGTGACGTCATGTCGCACCCTCCCCAACTGGCAGCGCACCATACCCAATTTTCGTCGCACCATACCAAAAGCGTTTTTTGACGTCACATGACGTCATTTTCGCTCACTGTCGCAAAGCAATCGTCCATATTGTGCATTTTCGTTTTTTCCGCTATATAATTTTTTTTTAATGGGATCATAGATTTTAACTTTTTTGCATTTTAAGAGGACTAATATCAAAAAAAAACAATGCAGACGACTTTTTTTAGGTTTCAATCTTGATTCATCTTTTTTCTCAATTGGTTTGGCCCTTTTTTGGAGCTCTCAGACAACGAACCGGTGAGCACCGGTATGGACCGGTAAAAACTGAAAATTGGGAAAATGCGGACTTTTTGATCCAGTTTTCTCATAAATGAGTGAGGTCATTGTTTTAAGGCTAAAAGTCAGTTTGGAACTTGATTTGACCATTTTGAGCCGAGTTATAGCCCCCGGCGCACCCTACCCAGTCCAACTGGCGCACCATGCCAAACCATCAAAAAGTTAACTTTTTCCACTTTTTATTCAGGAAAAACCATTTTCTAGACGATTTGAATGCCTAGAAGCCTTTTTTGAGCAAATTTTTATCATCAACCGGTGAGCACCGGTACGGACCGGTAAAAACTGAAAATTGGGAAAATGCGGACTTTTTGATCCAGTTTTCTCCTAAATGAGTGAGGTCATTGTTTTAAGGCTAAAAGTCAGTTTGGAACTTGATTTGACCATTTTGAGCCGAGTTATAGCCCCGGGCGCACCCTACCCAGTCCAACTGGCGCACCATGCCAAACCAACGAAGTCAATAAAACAACCTTCACATCTACTTACTAAAAGAGAAACTGGTCAAGAATCATGTTTGGTTAACAAAACTGTTCAAGTTAGAGGCTGTTCTTTTTTTTTGGAATTTTTCAGTAAGAGACTATAAAAGAAAGTAGACGTCAAAACTTGGTGGACATTAGTGTTTTAAAATTTGACCGTCGATCAATAAGACCGTTCGAATGATTTCACTGTTCAGTTTTCGAACGGTTTTAACATGTCATTTTTCTGACCGTTCGTTTGACCGACCAGTTTCTGAAATCTACTAAACCGACCATTTTAAGAGTGACATTTCGAACAGTCAAAAACCAACATGTCACTCTTAAGTGACATGTTGAAATGTTGAAACTCCAACCGTTCGACCAATGACCATTTATTATGACACGTTGAAAAACTATTGTTCGAACGGTCGGTCGAACGATCAATTTTTTAAACTAGAATAGGCATCTCTATAAAAATTTCGGTTTTGAAAATAATTTTTCTTAAGGAAAAAAAGAAAAAAATTATTTTTCAGAGTTTGAAGTTATTATTGGCAGACCTAATTTTTTTCATTGAATTTTTTTGATGAATCATGTCTCCGAGTGTACCAGTAATTGTAAATGTAAAATTTCAAAACTGAAGATGGAATTTGGTCCTAGATTTTTCGATTTATCGCTTTATTTCTGTTTTCGTCTATGAATTTTCTTTGGTTTCATTGTGTTTCTGAGGTACGTTGATATTAGAAAATTTAAAAAAAATTGGGATTTTCATTATGCTTTTTGTTTTTTTTGCCCCATTTTTGCACTTGTACACTTGGGGATGCTCGGATATGATCTCGATTTGAAACAATTCTCCATATTTCCCGAATAGTAGTAGACCAGAGCACAATGAAGACTAATATGAGTCATGAAAAGCAGTATGACAAAAGCAGGTGCGAGGGGCGGCCCGTCAACCTCTCGGCCTTCCGGCCACTTCCCAAGCCCGGCCCGGCCCAAAAAAAGCTCAAAAATTTTTTTCATTTTCAACTTTTTCGCTTTTTTTAACGAGAAAAAGTGGGATTTTTTTACTTATTTATCCTCATAGAGTTATAAGAAACTATGATTTAACAAGTAAAAATTATTTTTTTCGGCGAAATTTCGAAAAAAATGAAATTCAAGATTTTTCCAAAGTCCGGCCTGACCCGAGCCCGCGTAGGCTTTTTTTAAAAAAATTGGGGCCCAAAGCCTGGACAAAAGTGACAAATTTTTGCGCGAAACGCCTACGCTTTGAAACAAAAAGGTGAGTGGAAGAAAATAGTTGAAAATTTCATCTAAATGCTAGTAACTTCTCAGGAAAACAATGCGAAACATTTTTTAGGCTGTTTTATTGAAAAAAGGAGTATATTTTAATATTGTAATATCAGTTTTTTGTTTTGCCAACAACTTCAGAGTGTCAGATTAATAGGCGCTCAAACAATATTACAGAAGAAGTTTTTTTTTGGGAAAGAAACCTCAAATTTTCGCCCTCCCTTTCTCCGTTCTATTCGAAAAAATCAAATTGAGAGCTTCTCATCAACTGCATCAATTTTTTTATGTTTTGAAGTCCGGGGAAATTATGTATCACCAAGCAAAAAAGAAACCTAAAATGGAAGTTTTGGAGTTGGTAATCTTCATGAAAATAGTGAGCAATTGTTAAACTATTCAAAAAAATTGATTACGTGACTTCAAAACTTTGATTGGATTCCAATTTAGTGGAATCAAATCGTTGATGGAGTTACGACTTTTCAGAAATTTCAGCTTATTATTTTTTTCACAGAACTTTAAACTTTGAGAAAACTCGGAAGTTTTCGCCTTCTTTTCTTCAAATAAAATCACTTTTTTTCGTAATATTGAGAGGATATGGAAATGCTACAGGGGAGGGAAAAGGCCACGAGGAGAGTTAACAAACTCCCATTTTTTTAAAGGAAAAACTTTTTATATGAGTGAGAAAGGAAAAAGTAGAACCGAAACAAGTTTTTTTACTTACGGCGCAAACTTATGAACTATTTAAAAAAATATGCTCGCGCCAAAAATTTTTCTGCATAAATACTCTAAAAACATGGTTTTTATATATATGTATCTTATCTATCTCTCTTATTATACTAATATTCCAGAATAAATTTCGTTCTGAACATTGATGAGTCTGATGAAGTAAAAATTGAAGGAGACCAAGGTAGGTTTCGCTCTTTGTTAACATGAAAGCATTTCCTGTAAATGTCTTCATGATGCAATGATTATTAAATTTTTTTCAATAGTTAGAATTAGATTTCTATATGAACTTCGAAAATGTTTTTCATAATAAGATTTAAATTATATTTCAAACTTTTTTTACATGTGTATTGTTCTTTTTTTCAGTAGTTATTTAAGATTTTTTTGTGAGGTTTCTCACTGAAGCAAATTTTAGCGGCATTTAAAATTTCTAGAGAAAAAAATAAGAGCATTTTTGTGACTTAAAAACTTCTCTTTTTCGCATTTGTTTGGTTGTTTTCTTCAAAAATATCAAGAAAAACCAAACAAAAAAACATTTTCTAGCCTTTTTCCGATTTTTTTCTCCACGGAACTTTTTTATAAAAACATTAATGATTGAAAAATAGAAAAGGAAAAAGTTGTTTGCATTATTATAAAAGTCTTTTATAAGTAAAATATTTAAAAACTCTGTGAGCGTTTCAGCGCGCGCGAACGCCGCGAGAGCGCGCTGGGTTGTTTACAGTTTTGGCCGCTATGACGTCATGTGACGTCACGCGTGGGACCGTGCGAAAGTGAAAAAAGTGGTCGGCGCCCACGTATGACCGTATTTGACCTACCAACGGCATATTTGGACAAGGATGGCACCTGCCTTTTTTACAGCCCCAATTATTTCGCGCCAAGTAATCCCAAAAATATATATTTATTGAGCAATTAACTCGAGGAAATCAAAATAAATAAGAAAAAAAAATGAGAGTAAAAAAGGGAAGCTTTTCGAAAAAAAAAAGTCTTCCCCTACAGCCTCCTTTCCCACATACTTTCTAGACCCCTAAAGTGGCCACTAAAATTATTAGTGGTCTAGTAGTAGCACTCAGACCTCTATAGTGGCCACTAATTTGACTACTATAATGGCCACTGAAACGTCAAAACCCTATAGTGGCCACTAAAAGTTATCCCAGTACTTTCTAAAAGTTCTTTTTCAAGTTGTATATCTTTCAAATCCCCTTTTTTCAAGCTATCTAGCTGTACCAATTTTATATTTATTAAAAATAAATCTACCTCGAAGGCAAGCCGACAAAGTAGTTGCACTGCTCCAACTGGGCCTTCATGCTTTCGTCGACCGGATAGCACCATTCGTTCAGCTTCTCGTCGAAAACCAACGCCAGGGAGTTTCTTTCCTTTTTCTCGTCAGCTTCTTTGGTTGCAGACGGGGTTGGTTCTTCCGGTACAGGCTGGAAAATGATGAAAAATGAAAAAAAAATGGAAAAAAGTTCATGATCAAACTAGAAATTTTTGATAAAACTTGGACCAATCTTTCCCGACACTTATGAGTCTCTATAGGAAAAACTGAGAAAGTAATCCTGAATATTTCTGAAAACATCAGAGACAAAAAGCTTCTCATTATTTCAAGTAATCACTTAAGAAGCCGCTAAAGGGATCACTAGAAATTCTCAAAAAGTCCAAGAAGCGTCCGGTTTGCGTTACCCAAGTTCAATTTAACATGGGAAAAAACTTCAAATCGAGTGAAATACCTCAATTTTTGACTACCTTTCGGCAAAATTTTCACGTTTTCTGTTCATTTTTGGATAGCTCACGTCAAAAAAAAAAAAAAAACTACCATACTGAGGAAATCTTTAGTGGCCACTGTAGGGTTTTGACGTTTTAGTGATCACTATAGTAATCAAATTAGCGGCCACATGAGGGGCGAAAAATCAGTGGCCACTGTAGATGTCTAAGTGCTTCTACTGGACTACTAAAAATTTTAGTGGCCACTTTAGGGGTCAATGGATCAACATAACTGGTCCAATCTGTTTTTTCATCAGAATTACTGGGAGGAATACTGGATGAAAACCTACTGAAGTGGCAACTAAATAGAGAACCTCCATAGTGACCACTAAAACGAAAATAGTGGCCACTATAGAGGTGAATTTAGAGGCCACTTTAGTGTCCTCTCCGAGTAGTCCTTGGCGAGCCTCTATAGTGGCCACTAAAATTTTTCCCAATAACCCCTGAAATTTTCAAACTAACCGATGAAATCCTTGCTGGCAAGGCTGCCTCATCACGTTCATCAAGCCGTTTTGTCGTTGTTTCAATTGTTGTCATCTGAAAAATAATGAAAATACTCATAAAAGTCAGAAAAAATGGGTAAATCTTCTTTAAAATCCTCTAACTCCACAAAAAAAATCACCCAAGTTCATAACCCCTACCGTCCGCACTTTCAAAACGTCCACAATTCTCAAAATCTGCCCTTTCTTCCGTTTTCATCCTTAGAATCCCCACTAACAACGGGCTAACAACTCTCAGGCCGAAAATTGAAAAGAGGGTGGCTGGCGGATGACGTCATCCAAGTCTCGTCCTCGCCAGACACTCGAGACCGTAATTGGCCATTTGTTACTGTTACTGTACTCCCGAAGCTCGGTGATGACGTCATGGGTTCATGTTTCCCATGATGAATGACGTCATAAACGGCATAATTGAAGAGGTGTGGAATTTTGGAGTGAGGGGCTCATATTTAGAGCTTTTTAGTTTTCAGGAAATTAAAGAGTCCACTTAAGAGCCACTTCTTTTGAGTTTCTATAAAATTGCAGCTCAAAATTTTTTTTCTAAAAAAATTTAATAAAAACTTAGCCGTGGCTCAGAAAAAAGCTGCCAAAGCTTACTCAAGAGGAAAATAATTCGAAGTGGCCGCTTAAGAGGTGATGAACTCGAATTTTTAAAAAAACAGCCGCTCAAGGTTTTTTATTAAAAACTCAGCCGCGGCTCAGGAAAAAGCTGCCAAAAGCTACTCCAGGGGGAAAAATTGAAGTGACCTCTTAAGGGCAAGTAATTTCGAAATTCTGAACTTTAAACGCGGCTCAAAATTTTGTCTTTCTAGACTTTCATACGCTCCTTCAAAAAAGTTTGACAAAAATTTTAGCCGCGGCTCATTTTTACTGTCTTCTTTTCTCGAAACACTGTAGATTTTCCCTAACTCCTAGAAAACTGTTCCTTTTTAAAGTCGCGGATAACGTTTTAAGAATGGAAATGCCTTAAAAACTCAGCCGCGGCTCAGATATTCTCAAAAACTTCTTTTGAAAAATAAGTCGCGGCTCAGATTTTCCTAACTTCTTTTCTCAAAAAATAAGCCGCGGTTCAGATTTTCTCAAACCATTCTTCCCAAAAAATGAGCCGCGGCTCAGATTTTCTTAAAAACTTCTCCCAAAAAAATAAGCCGCGGCTCAGATTTTCTCAAACCCTTCTCTCAAAAAATGAGCTCGTCTCAGATTTCCCAACTTCTTCTCCCAAAAAAATCAGCCGTTGCTCAGATTTTCTCAAACTCTTCTCGAAAAAAAATAAGCCGCGGCTCAGATTTCCTAACTTCTTTCTCTCTTAAAAAATGAGCTCGGCTCAGATTTCTCAACTTCTTCTCCCAAAAAAAAATAAGCCGCGGCTCAGACTTTCTCAAACCATCTTCCCAAAAAATGAGCCGCGACGCAATTCTCACTTTTGCTGTCAAATCGCGGCTAATTTTCATAATCCCCGAAAAAAAAAGTCGTTCCCAGGTCATCACGTTTCACTGTACTCGTGGCGAACCTCCTAATCTTCTGTCGGTTGCGTCACTTCCTCCCCCTCTCAAAAAAAGCGCACCCCTGCATAACTTCATGTCCTCGACACGTCTGGCGCTATTGTTGCGCCACGTGGATAGGTACAGCTCCCCTCGATGGATCATATTGTCGATGGGGAGACCTTGACGCCTTTCGATCAACTTTCGACCCCTAGAGTGGTCACTTAGAATGGTAAAACTCCCCTCAATAGATCATATTGTCGATGGGAAGACCTTGACGCCTTCCGATCAACTTTCGACCCCTAGAGTGGTCACTTAGAATGGTACAGCTCCCCTCAATGGATCATATTGTCGATGGGAAGACCTTGACGCCTTCCGATCAACTTCCGACCCCTAGAGTGGTCACTTAGAACTGATAATGTGCAAATTTGCTCAACAAAAAGCTAGAAACTTAAAAATTTGATTCAATATTTTTTTTTATTCTCATAACTGTTTTTCATGAATCTATGTATTCAATTCGAACTATTTTGAGCTCAAAAATCCAAACTTTGAGCTTTTCACACAAAGTTAGCTTTTTCTCAATGGAGCGCACATGTTACAACTCTCGAGGCTCTTTTTTGCTTCGATTTGAAAAAAATTCTCGGTGCAATTTTCGGCATTTTTAAGCGCTAAAATCAAATTCCTGCGGATTTCAGATGCGTCGGACTTTATCCAAGATCTGTAAATTGCTGATTCTCAATGGAGCGCACAAGTTATCATTTTAAGGCCGTTTTTTCAAAAAGTCTCTCGAAGGAATTGAAAAATTTTTTCTTTCTCCTGAACCGAATTTCCATATTTTCCACTGTAGACGATTAGACATATGGAAAACTTCCCTAATCTGTTCAATTTTTAATCCATTCTAAGTCCAAAATTCAAAAATTTACCCTCTTAGCGCTCATGGAAGTCGTGGAGTTCGACAAGCGATGGATCGCACTGGAGAAGACGGCACTGACTGGGCGGCGCTTCCTGAAAAAGGCGTTCAAGTACAAAACTGTTTACAGTAACCCGTACAGTAATCGAAAGCTACAGTATACCTCTTGCAGCTCGGATCGTCGACGGTTTGGCTGCCCTTTTTCCCGAGCAACTTGGTGAGGATCGCCGATGATGAGCTTCTCTTCTCGTGCATCGTCTGAAAATGGGCTTATTGTAGGGTTACGGTAAAGACAAGTCTCTGCCCTTTTGAATACTGTATAAGGAAGAGCGGATTTTCATCATTACTTATGTGAGGTAAAAAAAAAGCGTTTCATAAAACTTAACCTAGAAACATCGGTTGAAACTAACCAAGCCCTAAAAGCCCTAAAAGCCCTAAAACTGCCTAAAGACTAACCCGGCAAGATTTCCTTAATTCAAAAGTATCAAGAAACTTTTTCAAAAAGATCCGTGGAAGTTGAAAATTTCGGATTCCATAGACTTTTTAATCTCAAAACGGTACCTTTTTTCAATAAATTCCCAAAATCCTAAAAAAGTCTCTTTCTTAGACAATTTTATTTAAAAACCAACCAAAAATGTCCGGTATCACTTTCTTGAAAATCCACAAAATTCCATAAAAGCAAATTTTCAAAGGAAGGTTACCTAAAAGTCACCCAAAGTCGTCTCAAAAAGTCAATATGGTACCACCTTTTTGAAAGTCCAATAGTGTTACTTACTACAGTCTGAAGGTTACCTAGAACCCAACCAAAACCATGTCAATATGGTACCATCTGTTTGAAAACCCTATAGTATTGTGGGGTTGGTCTAAAAGGTCTAAAACTCGAAAAAAGGTTACCTAGAAACTAATCAAAGCCGTCTCTAAACAATATCATCTTTCTAAACCTGGACAGGAACCTTAATAGAGTTCTTTCTCTTTCTCTATAGAGAAGGATACCCTAAGAACTAACCAAAACCAAAACCAAAACGGTACCCTTTTGTAAAACTAGACAGGAACCCTAATAAAGTAACCTTCTCGAAAAAGGTTCTCTAAAAACCAACCAAAACCACAAACAAACAACAACGAAAACAATGATATAGACTGAGGTAGTGGTATTACCTAATCGGCCCAGCCCAAGAGGCTGTAAAACTGGCACCCACCGGCCGCCTCTCTTCTTTCTTTTGAGACGGACCGACCCGACTGTTTAGGGCCGCCTGGTGTCTTTTTTGCCTTTCCCTCCGAGAAAAAAAAAAACAAAACGGCCGCTTTTGGTTGGCACCTGCGCCCCACCGCTCTTTCCACGCTTTTTATGGTTTTACGGTCTGGGAGAGACGGGAAGACGTGTGATTACCGATAGTGATAAGAGTAATAGTTATTTTTATCGATGTTAAAGGGGTTCAAAGATGATTTTAAGTATTTTTAAAAGTTCAGAACCACCCAATCTCTTCTCAAGGTGATTTGAGAAAGATTAGAAAGCTCTCTCTAAACTTTAAGGAACTTCAAGAGTCTTTGAAACAGTGAAACTTGGAAAAACGAACAGATGAGGTGGATTTGACGACGGCCGGCGGTTTCTGAAGCGAATTCTGGCGTGTGAGGACGGCCGCCTGGAACGCGTTGTCCAGCACCCGTTCGATTTCTTCCAACTGAAAAAATTCTGAATTTACAAAAAAATAGTGTGGAAAGAAAAAAAGAAATTGAGCTCAACACAAATTAGACCCGATTTCCAGCCAAGAATCTTGTTAAAAAAAAGAAAAAAATCGCCTGACAAACTCGATGAGAAAAAAATCAAAAAAAACTCGTCAAAATGAAAACTTGAACTTCAGTAACAAATCTAAAAAAATCCTATTTTTACAAATTTCCATCAAGAAAAAAAAAAAAAATAGGACCAAGGCTTCCGTTGGAGGATTTTAAAAATCGAGTTCCAGCAGCAAATTTTCGAAAAATTTTCGTTTTTAAAAACGTCCCAGAAGGTCAGAAATCTATAAAAACGGCATACAAATGCCAAAAATGTAGACTGTGCCAGAAAATCCGGAAAAAAAATAATGCTAAAAAGTGAGCTTTTTTGATAGAAATTTTGAAGATTCCAGGCACTTCGAAGCTGAACTTCACGTTGAAAATGGAAAATAACTGGAAAATCGGATCAAAAAAAACTCGTTAAAATGGTAAAAAATGAAGCTACCGTGATACAATTTATAGAATTTGGGCACTTTGATGCTCATTCCAAGTCAAAAAAATGAACAAAAATAGACCAAGTGGATAAAAAAATAACTTGAAAGGGTTAAAAGTCGTCTTTAATTGATAAGAGTTTGAAAAAAATCCAGGTATCTCACTTCCAAGTCAAAAAAATGAACAAAAATAGAACAAGTGGATCAAAAAAACTTGTTAAAATGGTAAAAAAATGAAGCATTCGTGATATGATTCTTCAAAAGATCAGAGAAAAGATTCTAAGAAATCTAGGTACCTCAAAGCTCAATTATAAGTCAAAAAATAGAGCAAGTGGATCAAAAAACTCGTTAAAAGTGCAATTGTCTCTTCGTGTTCCCCTTGGACCACCTTCCAAAACCACAACTGCGCGCAACAGATGTTATCTCGGAGTCTGGAAAGCCGCCAAGAAAGTGTTTCGAAATGGAGGAAAATTCCTTGTCTTTCTCTCCTCCTAGGGGGATAATTGAGGCGACGGAGAGATTTTCAACATTGATATGGGGATTCGGATTGACTCAACTCCACGATTTGACTTGAGATTTCTATCTGAGGATGTAGAGAATGAAAATTCTTACGGGTTTGGAAAAAAAATCTGAATTTTCAGCCGTCATTGTATATGAAAAAATGGCTAAAAAATCACAAATAAATTTTTGAGAAAATATATAGGGCAAAAAAAACTAATAAAAAAAACGTTTTTTTGAATGAAATTGAAAGATAGAGACCACTCAAGCTTTAGGGGCTACAGGGTCAGACCCTAAACCCCTATAGGGACCACCTTGATTTTACCACTATAGTGGCCACTTTTTCGGCCCCTACAAGAGCTGCTTTTTCCCCCTAAACCCTATAGGGACCACGCTGAAATTCCTAAGTATATAGGAAAATAAAAATAATCGAAAAAAAAGTTCACATGAAATTTTCACCATTCTCAAGTGCTATTTGAGCCCATGTGAGAACCACCTGGAAAAACTGAAAAAATCAAAAATCCATAAAGAAAACAGCTGGAAAAGTGCATAAAATTGGGCGTCGGATGGCGATTTGATGTGACCCATTAGCGCAGGGTCCATTTTATGGTTTTCCTTTTTTTTTCGGAAATTTGAGGAAAAGCTGAGAGAAGCTTATGGTCTTGGGTCATGCTGTGTAGGCATAGAAAAATGAAAATTTGATTTTTTTTTGAAATCATTTTCCTACAATCACTATAGATCATTTCCTCCAAATACAGTAATCTACAGTGACCTCGTGATCAAAATTTTTTTCTATATTCAGAATATTGGATCATACAATCATTATTAATCATTTACTTCAAAAATACAGTAATCTACAGTAACCTCGTACTTTTAATCAATCACTTCCGATCACTTCCTCCAAAAATACAGTAAACTACAGTAACCTCGTGATTTTTAATCAATTACTATCGATCATTCCCTTTTAAAAAAATACAGTAATCTACAGTAACCTAGTGATTTTTTTTTCAATTTTTTTCTAGATTCAGAGTTCGGGATCATTTCCCTACAGAAACTATCGATCATTTCCTTCGAAAAATACAGTAATCTACAGTAACCGCGTATTTTTAATCAATCACTATTGACCACTTTCTCTAAAAGTACAGTAATCTACAGTAACCTCGTGAAATTTTACCAAGCAAGTCGATTCACACAGATGTTGCGATTGCGCCCACCTGTCGGCAGCCAAGGAAAAAAGACGTCACAAGAGGTCACTTAAGGGCAATTTATCAGAGTGATCTCTTAAAGAATCATGAATTCAAAATTAGTTGTGACTGTGTAGAAAAAAACTAAAAGTGAACAAAAAGGCAATTTTTGAAGAAAAAGAACGAACAAAGGCTCGAAATCGAAACGAATCGAAAGAAAAAGGAACGGTTCCCAGGGAAAAAGTTGGCGAGGGGTCAAAAGGCGTGCCGCCATTTTTTCCTTTCTCTTTTTGTTCTCCAACGGTCGCAAACTTTTTTTTTGTTCTACCTGTCCAAGTTTGGCAGGTTGGAAAGATGGATTGGAATGGATTTTTAATGGAAAAGGGTGCCTTCGGGACTGTAAAAAATGGCATTAGAGAAGCTTTTCGGAGGTTTTATTGGGTTATTTCAAGAATTTAAAAAATTATTAAGCTTTTTACGATATTTTAGATCAACTATTAAAACAACATAATATAGGAAAAGTTTGAAAAAAAACGCTTGAAATAATTTTTTTAAGCTTGAAAATGCGATATCTAGAAAAAAATTGAGTAAAAAGCAAAAAAATTGAAAAATTTTGATGTCTCCAAAATTCCTATAATGAAGGAGCTGTCATTGGGAAAAACATTTTCGTTTTTTTAAAAAAACTCAAAAAAATATAGAAAATCTTTGAGAATCGAACTCCAAAATTCCTGTAATGAAAGAGGTGTCATTGGAAAAAAATTACAATCTCAAAAAAAGCCAAAATATCTTCAAAAAAATCAAGCAAAAAAATTTGAAAAAAACTAAAATAATTCAAAAATTAAGTGGCTTTTAAAACTCCTACAATGAAGGACCTGCCATAGAAAAAAACATTTTTCGATCTCAAAAAGCGAAAAATATCTTCAAAAATCAAGCAAAAAAATTTGAAAAAAACGAGAATAACTAAAAAAATTTCAGTGGCTTTAAAATTCCTGTAATGAAGGACCTGCCATTGAAAAAAATATTTTTCGTTCTTAAAAAAATTCAAAAAAATATAGAAAATCTTTTGAAAATCGAAGCAAAAAAATTAGATATAATCCGCCAAGGAACATCAAAAATCAGACCAAAAAAATCTCTGGCCAAAACAGGGGGAAGTTCGAGAATCGAGATTCAATCGGGAAAACCTTGACTCTCATTTGATCGACTACTATACGCATAGTGAAGATAATTTGAAAATTGGCGTGAAAACCGAAGAATGAGATAAAAAAAAAAAACACGACATCGGAAGAACATCTGTCTTTTGCCTCGTTTCGAAGAACAAATTTCTTATTTCTACGTTCCTCCTCGCACATTTCCAAGGTCGGAGGATTTTTTTCATCCTATAAAATGACTTTGGTAGTAATCTAGAAGCTCAAAATCACTATTAAATAACTAAAAACGAGAAAAAAAGTAAACTTTTTTTAAAAAAACTTGGAAAGGTATTGTGAAAATAGGGCAACTATACCACGTAGAAAAAACTTTGAAACAAAAATTGAACATATGCTTTCAAGAAGAGTCAAAAAACGACATTTCTCGTTGAAAAAAAAACCGAAAATTTCGATTTCTAGGCTTAAAATACTATTCTAAAACGCCTCATCAAGGCCACAACCTAAATTTTCCAACCTAAAGCACATTTTCATGACAGAAAGAGCCAAAAAAGACATTTTAATTTGAAAAAAAAGGCCAAAAATTGCGATTTTTATGCTGAAAGAGTCTTTTTAACACACTAAAACTCGTTTTCAAGACAGTAAGAACCAAAAATTGACAATTCTAGTTGGAAAAATATCAAAAAACGCGATTTTTCAGCTTATAATAGCCCTTTAGAACACTTTTTCAAGGTCACAACCTAAAAAGTTTACCTTAAAATCCATTTTTAAGTCAAAAAAACCAAAAAAAAACGATTCAAGTTGAAAAAAGACCGAAAATTGCGATTTTTCAGCTTAAAATAGCCCATTAGAACACTTTTTCAAGGTCACAACCTGAAAATTTTAACTTAAAAACCATTTTCAAGACAGTAAGAACCAAAAATTGACAATTCTAGTTGGAAAACACCGAAAATTGCGATTTTTCTGCTTAAAATAGCACTTCAGAACGCTTTTTCAAGACCAAAACCTAGAAGTTCTAACAAAATTCAATTTCAAGCCTCAAAATCAGCAAAAGAACCATTGAAAAACCAATCCGACTCACAAAAAATGACCAAAAAAGCAGGATAGTGCCAATAAATGACCTCAAAATCCAATTTTAAGCCTCAAAACCAGGAGAAGAACCATTGAAAAACCAATCCGACTCACAAAAATGACCAAAAAAAGCAGGATAGTGCCAATAAATGACCTCAAAAATGGTATACGGAGGGTAGGTCTTGGTGTGCAAACAAATCAAGAGACATTGTTGCGTTGTCATGACCAGTATAAACACGGATATCCGGTTTTCCTTGTTCCAGTGATCACTCTAGGGGTCTATTGATTCGAGTTTCATTTTTATAACTACTCGGAAAAATTGGAATCATTTCTGGTGGAGATCAATTCATTTTTCCAATAAAAAAATTGGGCAAAAAAAATTTATTTTTTTCAATGGAAAAAAATGCGTTCAAAAAAACTGCTGAAAAAAATGAGATTTTTTTGCGCTTTTTTTCTGAAATAAACGAAAAACTTCCTCAGTTCGCGTTCAAAAAAGCTTCAATAACGGGCCCTCAAAAATATTGCTAAAAATTGAAAAAAAAAGGTTAAAATGGCTGAAACAGTGAATTTGAAGTGATACTACTTATGAAAAAAACTCAAACTCCAAAATTGAAAAGTTTGCAAAAATTAGGATCTTTTCGCCTTCTGGAGAGCGCACCTGCATCATTATAAAACTTTTCGAAACAAAAAAAGCTTGGGAATTTAAAAATCCATGGCAAACAAGAACTCAATCAGTCCAGGGGCTTCAAAAAATGAGTAATAAAATGGAATTTAGACATCAAGGATAGCAGTACTGACCGTTTTTCACAGAGAATTTTGAGGCAGCCTTCAAAAAATGATCTTCTCATGGAAAACTTTAAAAAAAGCCGAAAAAAAAATCTCGAGGCCGTTTCCGCAACACAGAATGAATGTGTTGGGATGTGGGCTGAACCTCCTCAATCCCATTCAGTCATTTATTTGGATTGAACGGTTTGGCGACCGAGAGAATGCGCAATTTGGCTCAGCGGGGCGGCGGCCGTGCCCTCGGAGGAATTTCTAACCTTTTCCTAATGGTTTTGAATGTTTAACATGGAATAATATTACTAAATTAATGTAAAATTCAGTTTTCAGCTGTAAAAACGGAGAAAAACTCGAAAAATATCGAAAATTTTCAATACTCTGGTTGAAAAAAGAGCCGCGACGCAACCGCGCCGCGTTCGACGATATTTAAAAAAACGATATTTTCCAATAGAAGCTAATAATGAACAAGGAACATCTTTTTTTGTTAACCTATTTATTAAAAATAATATATAATATCGAAAAATTTTAATGAGCCGCGACGCGACCGCAACGCTTGCAAAATTTCAAAAAAGAAATTTTTTTTTGGAATGAAGAAATATATTAAACGTCTTATTAGGTGAAGGGAAATAATATAAAAAACACTTAAAACGGCGCAGCTCAGTAGCCAAAAGACTTGTCAGACGTACACGAGGTCGCTGGTTCGACTCCCCTCGAGGGCGACAAAGTTTTTGAAGAAATGGGACTTCTAACAAAATGGAGATCAAGCTCTCAGGTTTTGGAAAACAGATCTTCTATAACTTCTAAAGCTGACGGTCCCAAGTTTTGCCCCATTTTTGAGCCCAACTTTATGATAAGGTCCCAAGTTCCTAAGCTGAAGGTCCCATTTGCTCAACTTTATGATAAGGTCCCAAGTTCCGAGTTCCTAAGCTGAAGGTCCCAAGTTTCGCCCCATTTTTGAGCCCAACGTTATGATAAGGTCCCAAGTTTCGCCCCATTTTGGCCCGAATTTCTAACCGTATTTTTTTCGGAACTTATCGAATTTTGACCTGGAAAACGTCCCGAGCTTGAAATTTTTTATTTCCTCTCTAATCGGGGAGCTTTTTTCAAAACTTTTACAAAATTTTTAACAGTTCAGGTCTTGAAAATCAGATTTTTCTTCTCTTCATTATGATCTTGTTGCTCTTCTGAAGCGAGCTTCTCATTATTTTTGAGCCCAACTTTATTATAAGCTGAAAGTCCCAAGTTTCTCCCGACTTTGAGCCCAATTTCAATCATATCCTCCTCGAAGATCACCAAAATCCAACCTGAAAGACGTCCTGAGCTTGGAAAACGTGGCAAAGTCGGCGATAGGTGCGACCAGCTGGCTCCGTGGCAATATAGGCGATCTGTCCGTGGTGAGGTCGGCCGACGACGCTGCAGATCCGGCGGAGCGAGTGGGACAGGATCACCATCTGAAAGAAAGTTGTTTCTAGTCGAGTGGTATAAGCTCTTGGCTGGGGTTCTAAGGGTCACAGGTTCGACTCCACTTCAGAACTGGCGTTTTTGCAGTTTTTACTTTCTTGTATCATATTGAAGGTTCTAGAAATTTCCAGCTTAAAATCATAATTTCTAGTCTAGTCAAGTGGTATCAGACTTCAGTCATTGTGAAAAGGTTTGCAGATTCGAATCCTCTCCAGAACTTGAAATTTGAATTTTTGCGACAACCCGTAACTTTTTGCAACTTTTGAAGATGTAGCTCAGTGGTTTAGGAGCCCAGCTATCACTCCGAGGGTCACAGGTTCGAGTCCTCTCGAGAACTTTCATTTTTGCTATTTTCTATTTTACTTGTTTTAATTTATTTTTACAAGTTTTGAACCCTTCTGGACCAGTAATTGAGCCCGGCTACAGTTCAAAGGGTCACAGGTTCGAGTCTTCTTCAGAACTTTCATTTTTGCCATTTTGCAACTTTCTCACAATTCTTGTATAGAGCCTTAAAAAACGATTTTCAATTATTTTTATGTTTTGGGAAGAGTAAAAGAAAAAAACGCTACATATACAAGAATAACATCTGAGAAACGGCTGACTCATCGTTTTCCCATGGGAAAAAAAATTTTTGTGGTTTTCGATGGTCTTTTGAAGACTATTTTCGATGATTTCCAATGAAAACCCTAGATTTTCCCAATTTTCAACCCCAGAACCTCATTACCTAGCTGCACTTCATTAAAGTGTCCACTCAATTTATGCAAAATATCGTTGGCGCGCAACAAATCTCGTCACGCAACATGACATTCCCGTTTCACCCGAGCAAAAGTGTCATTAATATCCTCCTTCAGCGTCAAGGTCATCATTATTCATAGGCTTTGGAAATCTCATAGGGGATACGTAATGGGAAAGGGCATGAGTTGATGCTCAGCGAAGTTGGAAAATGTTCCAGAGGAAAATGTCTTTTCTTCGATACTAGTGCAAACTAGCAGTTGATGCTCAGCGAAATTGACTTGATACTCAGTAACGCTACACATAAGAGAGCTGCTGCTCAGTGAAATTGAAAATATTCTCGAAGGAAAATTTTTTTTACAATGTTCTGGAAGGCTGTTGGGAAAATCCCTATTCAAACTTTTCAAAATTCCAGTTGATGCGCAGCGAATTTCGCTTGATACGCAGTGTGCCTATAAAAAAAGATATTGTCCAGTAAATAGGAAAAAAAAGCGGCGAGAAGCCATTTTCAAATTTTTTTTCGGTTGCCCCTTATTTATCTCAAAATTCCAGTTGATGCGCAGCCAATTTTTCTTGATACTCAGTGGACTCATTAAAAACAAATCAAAGCTGCTGTTCAGCAAATATGGAAAGATACTGAGTCAAATGACTTCTCCAAATACTGAAAATCCGTCAAAACTCTCTCAAGAGTTTTCAGTCGATGCGCAGCCAATTCTGCTTGATACTCCGTGGAATCACAGTCGGTTCCAAAAGAAGGTCAAACCACTTGTTTGACCTCTTGTGTGCGCACTTTCTGAAAGGTACAAGTACGAGTACAACTATTTCACGAGTGGCACTTGTTCTCCTACAGTAACCTGACACCTGAGCATCTTATGGAATGGATTTTTGAGGAAATTTTGAACCATGAATTAGGAGAGGGATATTAAAAGCCAAAAAATCTACTTCTGGGTCAATTTATGAACAATTCTGGCCAGAAAACCCTGTTTTCCCGACCAAAAACTGATCCGTTCGCACTTTACAGTCGTCTTTCGGACATTGTAACAATCGCGCTCTTTTGTTAATCTCTATGCCGCTTTCTGGACGTATCCTCTTACGGTTGACCCCCTTTTTTACACGTTTTGGATAGAGTTACCATTGGTGGTCTGTGAAGAAGAATTTCGAATATTAAAAAAAAAATAGCCATTCCTCAAGATGCTCAGATTTCCGCGAAAATGCTGATTTTGGGTCTGAAACGTCTTCCAAGTTTAAAATTTTGTTTTTTAAACAGTTTCTGGTTAAATTCAGGATTTCAGTTCATAATCAAGATGCAAACCAGTCAATTATAACTTCAAAAACCTGATTTTCAAGGTTTCTATGTACTCTAACGACCGGTTAAAAATCAAACCGGAACACGAAAAAGTAATTCTGCTCAATTTTTTTCATGTTTTTGAATTTTAAATACACATTCCAGCTGAAAAACTGATCAAAAATCCTCTAAACTTTAATTTTCAAGACTATCTCCCTTTTTGAGCCTCATTTGGGATTTTATAAGAAATCAAGCTAAAAATACCGCCATAAATGGCACTGAGAAAACCCTTAAATGACCGCTTAAGAGGTTACCAAATGACCACTTGGAAAGGCCACTAAAGTGGCCACTAAAATCGCCTCTAAAACTGTTAGTGGTCTAGTAGTAAAACTTCTAAAGAGGCCACTAAATCAAAGCCACTTGAGGGGTCACTAATTCGACTACTATAGTGACCACTAAAACGCCACAACCCTGAAGCGTCCACTGAAAATTTTCCGAGTAAACTCCAGTCGAAAACCCGGCTAGAAATCAGTCCTGAAAATCAAAATTGATCCCTATAGTGGCCTCTAGAAGATCAAAACCCTGAAGTGACCACTGAATATTTTCCGAGTAAACTCCAGAATTTTCACCTTCCAGTCGAAAACCCAGCCAAAAATCAGCCCCAAAAATCAAACTCGACCCCTATAGTGGCCACTAAAACATCAGCACCCTAAAGAGACCACTGAATATTTTCCGAGTAAACTCCAGTCGAAAACCCGGCTAAAAATCGGCCTCGAAAATTAAACTCGACCCCTATAGTGGCCTCTAGAAGATCAAAACACTAAAGTGGTCATTGAAAGTTTTTTTCCAGCCCCGAAACCATTGCAAAACATTCAAACTTTTCAAAAAAAGTCGAGACGGAAACGAATAAAAGTAATTGGTCGGATTGCTCATCGGTAAGGATCTTTCTCATCTTTTACGAGCCCTTCGCTTCTTATCGGCTCCTTTCTTTGCAATGTGCTTTCCGAAATGAGCTCATCGAGTAGTAAAAAACGGGGGTCGTTTATTGCGCCGCCGCCGCCGCCACAATCCTTTTTTGTTTCAATTATGACGTCACGCATTGCTTTGATTCTAACGGAAGGAGAAGGAAAAGAAAGTTTGAAAATGTTCGATCATGAAATATTATCAATCAAGGTTCACTATCATCAAAATCACAGAAGCTGGCTGGTTCAAAAACAACTTATGACGTCATTTCGTGTCACTCACGGCTGGAAATGACGTCATTTTCCTTTCAAAAGAGCCTTGTACCTTTTGAAGCCTTCAGAAACACCAAAAATTCCCATTTACTCAGCTCATAATCTCGTCTCGAAAGCGGCTTATGACGTCATAAAGGATTACTGTAAGCTCAAATGACGTCATTCTATAGTCAAATGAACTTTGTAATTTTTTTAATTCTTGAAAATCTTTAAAAAAATTCCCAATTTTTCAGTCCATGAACGTTCAGAAATCGTCTCGAAAGCGGCTTATGACGTCATTGGAGGTTACTGTAAGCTCAAATGATGTCATAATTTTTCGAAAAACTTGAAATGGACTAATGACGTCATAAATCTCAAAAAAAGCTTCCACAACCCTTCTTTACAAAAAAAAACGTTTTTCAAAAATTAAGGAATTTTCTGTAAAATGAGAACAGATTTGCGCTAGTCATTGGACTGAATATTGAATAAAATCCTTTTTGTGTTGATAAAAAGGGCAAAAATTCTCCTGAATAGAAATATTTCGACAAACTGGTCATATGACGTCATATAGGTTATTTTACGTAGTCCAAGAATGTTATTTTTCGACGAAAAAACCAAAATCCACACAGTTTTTCCATAAAATGCGAGCGTTTCCGCCGATGATCGGATTGACATGTTGCCCAACGATGAATCATGCACAATATTGGATCAGAATGCGGAGAGGCGGTTAATCACTTGAAGGAGGGGAGGAGGGAGGCGACTGGCGCAACAATAGCGGATGGCGGCGCGCGCAAAAGAGCGCGCACCCCCCTCTTGTTGCATACATATGTTAGCCGAGAGTAATTACCGTGGCAGCCAGGTAATTACTTCTTCTTCTTCGGTAATGTGAGCAATAAAAAATCGTCATACACTACCTTTTCCACTTGAGAAAATTTTTCAAATTTGAAATGGAATATGACGTCATTTTTATCTTTTTTTTTTCAAAATGATGATATTTTCTTAAAACAGGAAGACAGTCATGTCGTTTTGAACCTCCGAAAATTCTAATAAAAGTTTTTTTTTCAAAAAGTGACGTCACAACCATTTCAGATAAAGAGCCTTGTTTTTTTTTTCAAAAAACCCGGAAAATCTCTTTTTGATAACGTCACAACCCTTAAAAATGACGTCATAACCCTTTCAGGTCTATCAAAAAAAATCATTCGGAAGGGATTTTTTTCAATCGAATCAAGTGATATTTTTCACTTTTTTTCAAGCTTTCTGAGATATTATGAAGGCTTATATTTTTAAAAAAATAAGGTTTTTTTAGACCAAAAATTAGCCTTGATGACGTCATAACCCTTCCAGATCTATCAAAAAGGCATTCGGAAGGGTTTTTTTTTCTTTTTTTAAAATTAATTAAGTGTAATTTTCAACTTTTCCAAGCTTTCTTAGATATTATTGAAGCTTAAATTTAAAAAATAAGGTTGTTTATAGACCAAAATTAGCCTTGATGACGTCATAAACCTACTACGGGGTCCAAAAGTCTTAGGAAAAGCTAGAAAAAAGGCGAAACACGTCCAAAATCGACAGTTTCTCTCCGTTTTTTCAGTCCTCAACTCATATCCAACACTTTAGAAAATCACTGATTCAACTGACTTATCATTTTATCAAGGGTGAACCTTTTTTAAAGCCTTTTTTGTATCCTTAACTGCACCTAATCATTTTCCTTGATCCTTAACTGCACCTTAACAGTACCCTAATCATTTTTCTCAATCCGACACCAAAAAAAAACGCACCTCTTCGCAGGAAATCCTCACTCCCAACAAGGAGACGGACATTTCGACGCTCTGCGGCTGTCCAGGCGAGAACTTCTCCAATCTTTGGGCCACGTGGTCCGATGTGGTGCTCGAAACAGGAACTGATCCAATATACTGCAAAAATTGATCATTTTTGGATGAATATTACATAATAGTTGCTTATTGAAACCCAATTTGTGTAACTTTTTCTTGAAAGAAAAAATTTGAAACCTTGGAAAAGACTTCTAAAATAGAATGGACCTGCTAAATTCAATTTTTGTTAAGCTGATTTCAAATTAAAGCTTTAAATTTACCAAAAAGAACTGTGAAAAAAAAAGCTTTTCAAATTTTGAACTGACTCCTTGTCAATTTCAAAAGTCCCCCTTAAGGGGTCACTTTATCTACCTTATAGGGGCCACTAAAGCTTGAAAAAGTGGCCACTAAAGGGGCGAATGCCAGTGGTCCGTGAAGGGGTTCTAATTAGCAGCCACTCTAGGGGAGCATACTAGATTATTATTGTTTTGAGCTCTATGAGAAAAAAAAGCAATTTGAAAAAAAGACCCCTATAGGGACCACTTAGACTTGGAAGGCATCAGACCCAAAATCCCTAGAGTGACCACCTAAATGTTATCCCTATAAGAACCACTTTTGTTCCCTAACCCCTTTACGAATCATTCCTGAGAGCTGCAAAAACTTTTCATTTAAAAACCTCACTCTCTTGAAAAAAAGGAACTCAAAAAATAAACTCATTTTCATAAAAGTTACCCGCAAAAGATATACGTTTCAGTTGTGGTTTTGGTTCTACACTTCATCATATTTTTCACTTTGTAGATGCCTTTTTGAATTGAAAAAATGTTGAAACTTTGAGATTTCGAGAAAATATTTTTTATAAAAATTTTCAACTTGAAACAATCATTTCTAGTTTCAAAAATTTCTCCTTTTCCAATTGTTTGTACCTCTTCTGCATGAAAAAAGTCTACTTGTTTCAAATTTGATCATTTTCTCAGCCTTTCCAACTGTTGGAGTTTGAAAAGAAGACAATAAAACCATGGCAAATTTTCCGGAAGGCGGCATTTTATTGCCGGAGCTCGCCTTTAATGGGGAGAAACTTGACTTTAGAGTCCTTTTATGAGCTTTCTTTGGGTATAACTTTGAGAATTTTATCAAGTTGATCTGGAAAATTCGAATAATCTATCATTAAACTTGTTTTTCAGGCCCATTTAGCTATATGAACACTTAATTTTAGCCGTACTCAAGTCTGGGAGGGTGCGCCTTTTTACGAGGAACGAGGTTAAAAATTAAAAATTGACGATGAATCTCACTAGAAAAATCTGATTCTCTACATTTTCTTCACTTTCCAAGCTTCCCGGAGCCCATTTCGGTACTCAAACTAACAATCAGGCCTACCCAACTAAGGGAGGGTGCGCCTTTTTAGGAGTGGCTAGGCCAAAAAAATGAAAAAATGACGATGAATCTCAGTATAAAAACCTGATTCTCTGCATTTTGTTTAGTTTCAAAGTATTATAGAGCTCATTTCGGTACTCAATCCAACAATTAGGCGCACCCAACTAAGGGAGGGTGCGCCTTTTTACGAGTGGCAAGGTCAACAAATTATAAAATGACGTTGAATCTTCCTAGAAAATTTTGATTCTCTGCATTTTCTTCACTTTCCAAGCTTCCCGGAGCCCATTTCGGTCCTCAATCTAAAAATCAGGCCTACCCAACAAAGGGAGGGTGCGCCTTTTTACGAGTGGCTAGGCCAAAAAATTAAAAAATGATGATGAAACTTAGTATATACGAGCCAATTATCTACATTTTCTTCAGTTTTAAAGCTTCCTAGAGCCTATTCCAGTACTCAATCTAACAATTAGGCGTACCCAAGTATGGGAGGGTGCGCCTTTTTACGAGTGGCAAATTCAAAAATAGAAAATGGTGATAAAACTTTCTTCAAACAATTCAATTATCTGCATTTTCTTCAGTTTCCAAGCTTCCCGGAGCCCATTTCGGTACTCAAACTAAGAATCAGGCCTACCCAACTAAGGGAGGGTGCGCCTTTTTACGAGTGGCTAGGCCAAAAAATGAAAAAATGACGATGAATCTCACTAGAAAAACTCGATTTTCTGTATTTTCCTATAGTTTCGATGCTTTCCAGAGCTCATTTCGGTACTCAATCTAAAAATCAGGCCTACCCAACTAAGGGAGGGTGCGCCTTTTTACGAGTGGCGAAGTCGAAAAAAGAAAATGGCGATGAAACTTTTTTCAAACAATTCAATTATCTGCATTTTCTTCAGTTTCCAAGCTCCCCAGAGCCTATTCCAGTACTCAATCCAACAATTAGTCGTACCCAAGTTAGGAGGGTGCGCCTTTTTACGAGTGGCGAGGTCAAAAAAGTGAAAATATCTGTTTGATTTTCTTTTTTTTTCTACAGTTTCGAAGCTTCCCATAGCCTATTTTGGTACTCAATCTGACAATTAGCCGTACTCAAGTAAGGAGAGGTGCACATTTTAACGAGTGAGGAGGTCAAAAACGTGGGGTTGGCAAACACATCCGTGTGGGGAACCCTATAATTAAGATAACCTCCTTCGAGGGTGTTTCTCTCTGGTTCTTCTAAACGGCTCACTTGACTTTTTCAAGTGCAGTTGTTTGGACAACTGATTTGGTGGCCCAGTGGGAGGCTGATGAAGTTACTTTTTGGGCAAATAAAAAAAATATTTCCTGCTCTGAAATGCGCACTTAATGACTATAATGAGACCTGTTAACTAATTTAAAAAAATCAATAATTCATAAACTTGTAGAAAAAGCTCTTAAAATGCAGTTATAGAAAGAATATTATTTTTCTGAGCATTTGCGCTCCACGGACAATTTTCCGTCAAAAGCTCTTTTTCAAAAAGAGCATGGTTCTAAGAGTCTAATGATTGAACTTTCTGTTAAAAAAAATCATTTTGGTATGAAAATATCAATTTTTCTCCGTGGAGCGCAACTTAAATCCAATTTTTTCGGCCTTTTTTTCTCTTAATTGAAAGCTCTGGAATTCGAAATCGGTTAATATTCGCCTCACAGCCCCTTGACCAAACAAGGAACTTGGCACCTGGCCTCCTTTTGACGAGTTCAAGTGGTTACTGTAGGGGCTTGCAGCTGATCAAAGGGACTGAGATGTCGTCATCAATCACGGCCGAGGGTGCGGCGCGCTGGTTTCAAATGACTCTACTGTTTCGAATCTTTGATTTATGGGGAGTTTGTTGAGGAAAAACCTTAAAGTTAGCTCTTACGTTAAGATCCAAATGATCAAAAACACAAAAAAAAATTGTAGAATAAATGTTCTAAAACTTATTATACGTTCCGAAAATGAAAAAAAATGCCGCAATTCGAATAATTTCAGTAAGATTAATTTGTTTTTCAATAAGACCACATGACTCCCGTAATGACCAGGGATAAAAAGAGAAAAAAATGTGACAAAAAAATGAGGGGAAATTAGGAGAAGAGTTTGAAAAAAATAAAAAAATCTTTTTATTCAAAATTTCTAAGGCAGTACGGAAATGAATCATTCCAGTGAGAAAAATATTGAGGCTCTGAAATTTTGAAACCGTGAAAACACGAATCAAAAGGAAAATCTGAAAAAAAGCAGCTCAAATTTAAAATTTTCTCTTAAAAAAACTTCAAGTTGACTTGTTTCAAGACCGAAAAAAGCTTTCCGAACATCTCATTCCATTCAAAAACTTAAGAATGATTTTTCAACCTTAACTCACAATTTATAGGTAATTAGAGACTTAAATACTTCAAATAGATCCTACGGAAGCTGAAAAAAAAGCAAAAAAAAAATCGAATGACGTCAACAACGACAATAAAAAAACCAGTATTTGGCCTTAAAATATTCGAAAAACTCAAAAGTGACCAAAGTGTGTTCAAAACACGATTCGAAGTCAGAAAAAAAACACTAAAAAATTCAAAATTGTCACGAGAAGCTAAGAAAACGCCAAAAAAACTCCAAAAAAATCTTCTTAAAAACTAAAAATGTCAAAAATTTACTCTGAAGTCAGAATTACCTTCACCTTGGACCTTATTATGTACTCAGCTTTTCAAAATCGCTTTTAGATCGTGAAAAAGCCCTCTTTTAGCAAAAAAAAATTCTCGGAGTTCAAAAATCCCTCAGAAGCTCAAAAATCACCAGAACCATCGTGACATCAGAAACTAGCATGGAGATGAAAAAAGTTAAACTTTAAAATTTCAAGAATAAGCCTAATATTCACCACAAGAATCATTAAATCATGAAAATTCAAAAATTATAAGACAAAGTTATCACTAAACTGTACCTTATCACAAGCTTGACCGTTTTGAAAAATCAAAAAATCATTTCAACACCTTAACTCAACAATATGAAGCCAAAATCGACACCAAAAAACCTCCAATTTCCCCCAAAAGTTCAAAAATCACCAGAATAATCATGAGACTAGAAACCATCATAAAAAACAATGAAAAAAAGTATACCTTAACATTCCAGGAATAGGCAAAGTGAGGCATGGTGGCTAGGTGAATGAACTCGTCGAAGTCGTCGTCTTCGTGGATCAGCGCGCCGGCTCCGCCCCTTTCTGCCGGCTCTGGCGGGTGGGCGGAGCCAAGGTGGCAGCCTGCCAACCCGTCGCGAACCGACTTCTCGCCACCCTTGAAATGGCCGAGGAGTGTCGATTTCAGCCGCGAGTACATCGGAGCCTGAAATGAGAGATAGAGTGATAGTTTTATCAATTAATCAATGAAAAATTTAAGAATCTGATTGACCGCACGGGGAATGGCTCTAGGCGTTACGGTTGCGTTGCGAATTGTTTTTAAAGAACCCAAAAGGTCTGATAAAATTTACAAGTTCCATAAAAAGTTGTGGATCAAATTGACCGCATGGAGAATGGCTCTAGGCGTTACGGTTGGTAGCGAGTTGGTTTTGAAGAGCGCAAAAAGGTCTGATAAAATGTCCAAGTTCAATGGAAAAGTTGTGGATCAAATTGACCGCACGGGGAATGGCTCTAGGTGTAACGAATTATGGCTCTAGGCGTAACAGGTTGGGTAAAAATGAAGGATTTCTTAAAATAAAAAAAAGGCATAAAGAGAATGTACAAGTTCCGAAACTACAGAAATGTCTGCAAGAAGTCAATCATCAGTTAGAAACCCATAACTTCAACCGCAGCGCGACCGCAACGCTCTGAACCATTCTAAATGCGAACAGCTGAAACCGCAGCGCGACCGCAACGCTCTGAGCCATTTCAAATGCGACCAGCTTCAAACGCAGCGTGACCGCAACGCTCTGAGCCATTCTAAATGCGGCCAGCTTCAACCGCACCACGACCGCAACGCTCTGAGCCATTCTATATGCGGCCAGCTTCAACCGCACCACGACCGCAACGCTCTGAGCCATTCTAAATGCGACCAGCTTCAACCGCAGCGCTCTGAGCCATTTCAAATGCGGCCAGCTTCAACCGTGACGCTCTTAGCCATTCTAAATGCGACCAGAGGACTTCAAGCCGTAGAGAATGAGAACTTTTTGCCGGAACTAGAGAAAAAAAGTCAAGATCCATATTTTTTCACTGACCACATGATTTTATGGGAAATAGAAAAGTTACTGTAGCTTATTTTTGTGGAAATTCCTCACTTGACAAAAATCCAAAATCCATTTTTTAGCCAAATAGCTACTATTTCAACATAAAAAGGGTCTCAAAAAGTCCATTTCAATTTGTAAAATTTTTTTTGGCAAGTTTAGGGTATAATGTATACGATGAAAAAAAGAAGAAATGAAATTTGTTTTTGAAAATTCATAATCATGGACCATTTCCTATCCGCAGCGCGACCGCGACGCGTTAAGCCATTCCCAATGCGGTCAAATTTTGACTAAAGTCGAAAAATGTCAAAAAATGTACATTTTTGAGTTGAAAAGCAACACAAAACAATCTGAATACTTCCAAAAAGGCGAAAAAAATGTTCTTCATCAAAAATTTCTAGAAAACACAATGAAATTCAAATCAAAACAAAGCTCAAGAAAAAAAGCATTTACAAAAGCAAAAATGAGCAAAAAACGACCAAAAAACGGCATGTCCAACCTCCAAAAATTAGCACCAACAACTTAACACCGAACAGGGCAATCCCTCGATTCTTATCTAACTTTACCTCTAACACTTTTTCAAGGATTAACGACACGTTCATGTGCTAAATCGATATAATCGGTCATGGGACTGATCAGTTTCTTGATAAAAACCTGCGAAAAATGAAAAATTCGAGGAAAAAGCGGACTTTTCGTGAATCTGAACTTCTGGAGCTTATTTTTTAGATCGCTTCAAGTTTGAATAAACTCGTGAAAAAGTTGACCTTCGATGAAAAACCTAAAATTTCTCATTCTTCATGATTTTTCCGCACAGATTTTGATCACCAGAGGAAAATTGGTCCCTAGAGTGAATTTTTACAGAAAACGGACTGCCAGGTACTTCTCAGGTACTATCAAAATGTCCAGGAATACAAACGGTGGTCTATGTTCCTTGAGTGATCCCGAGAGAGGCGTAAGTGGTCCCTAGAGTGGATCTACGCGGAAAACCGACTGCCAAGTACTTCTCAGGTACTATCAAAATGTCTAGGAAGACAAACGGTGGTCTATGTCCCTTATGTGATCCCGACAGAGGCGTAAGTGGCCCCATAGAGTGAATCTTTACAGAAAACCGACTGCCAGGTACTTTTCAGGTACTACCAAAAGGTCTAGAAAGACAAACGTTGGTCCATGCTCCTCAAGTGATCTCGAGAGAGGCGTAAGTGGTCCCTAGAGTGCCGCCCTAAAAAAACCGACTGTCAGGTGTTCCTCAGATACTATATAAACTTCCAAAAAATCCTCATAACTAGAAATTCTCCCAAAATCGGTCGCAATATCCAATCCGATCCAAATCCTTGGCCACGCAACCCGTCCAACGACTGTGGCGAATTAATCCGGTGCATTTCCCGTCTTGAGTTTGTTCATGTACATATATGGGTTGCGCAAGCTGGCGCGGGACGCTTTTGGACTTCTTTCAAGGCGCCGTGAGACTCGCGTAATGTATACGCGGCTCGGGACATACAGCCATTGTTTGCCTCGGCTCAACTGCTACAAAAATGTACCTTGTTGCCTTTTTTGGATTGAGTTTGAATGAAAAATTGATATTTTAGCCTCAAAGGCATAGGGGCAGTAAAAAATGGGGTTTCAGGTGAAAGCAGCATCTTATATAGTTTTTTATTGCAAATCGAATGGTGTACTCAAAAAAATTAAAGATGTGACAACTTTAGAAGAAAAACGCGATTTCACTTTCCCGCCTTTAATTTTGAAAAAAGCTTTGGATCAATATGCAGACAACTGTTTACAGTAGCCGTGCACGAGATGTTGCGGACGTCTTATTAGACTCGCATTTTGTATGAAATAACCGGCTATCTGCTTCAAATTAAGGGTTTCTTCTCTGAAAAATTGATTAAGAAAGCCGAAAACACACAGTGATAATAAAGAAAACACAAATAATCGCTATCCCAATCGAAACCTGTGTAAAATCATCATTTTTTTCACCAGAAAAGCTTTTTGCGATCAAAGTTTGCAAATTATACATGAATCGAAGGCTTTGGTGACGAAAAAAACTCTGGTGACAACAGAAAAAAATTGAAAAATTAAAAAGAAAAAGAAGAAAAAAAGCGAAAATCCGGAAGATGGCGAACCCTGTTGTCCATAGAGCAACTTTACTGCAAAGCGCCCTTTTCGCGGGAACTCAAGCTTTCTTTTCTCCGACTTTGAATTATTTTTTCTCCAAAACTAGGAATTTCTGTACGTTTCCAAGTTCACCGTTCGATTTGCAATGAAAAGCTCTACAAAGTACTGCTTTGAACTGAAACACCGTTTTTTACTGCCCCTATGCCTTTAATTTAATTGAGGAAGCCTTAGAGGAGGTGATGGAGCTTTTCCAGGCGGGATAAACTACCACAGAAATGTACTTTGTTGCCTTTTTTGGATCGGTTTTGAATGGGGAACTGTTAGGTTGGTGATTTTCGGATTGAGAAAGTCTTGAAGAAGGTGATGGAGCTTTTCCAGGCGGGATAAACTACCACAGAAATGTACTTTGTTGCCTTTTTTGGCATGGGTTTGAGTGGGAAAATGTCATATTAGCGCCTTTTTGATTGAGGAAGTCTTGGAGAAGGTGATGGAGATTTTTCAGATGGGAATAACTACTACAAAAATGTACCTTGTTGCCTTTTTTGGATCGATTCTGAATGGAAATCAGTATGGTTAGCCTTTTTTATTGAAGCCTTAAAGAAGTTGCTTGAACTTTTCCGGCCGCGCACTATAAGGGAAAATAATCAGGTCGTTGAAAATGTATTCAAATACAGAAAATGGTATTTTTCATTCAATTTTTGGCGTCTAAAGGGATTGCTGTACTTACCAGTATCATAAGAAACACGAGAAAAAACCTGAAGTGAATCAACTTTTCAGCGTTTCGTGTACATTTTCGACAATATGGCGCTTAGCGATAAATGCTTGTCTTTTAGAATAATCATACCTAGGGCCACTTAGCACAGAAATTTGGGTTAGATCTGCAATCTTCACCAAATTTTTTTTTACGAAAATGGGTCAGAGTTTAGTTGCGCTTTTTAAGTCGATTGAAGAAATGTTCCAAGGTCAGAGTATTTAATATGATTAAAAATTTTATTGAAGGCTCAGCTCAAAGAGATTCTACTGAACTGAATGCTGTGTTCCATTTAATTAGAACTTTTGTCATAATGAAGCTCTCCAGACCTTTCCAAAAGAGAATATGTAACCATTTTTGGAAATAGTAAGTCGAAGAGGTCTTGTCAGCTTTTCCCGGTTTCTCCTCAACTTTTCGAATTTTTAAAGTTTCGTTTCAAACTTAATTCATACTTGGCTCTTCTTACTTATAACTGAAAAAAATAATTTTTAAAAAAACGTTAATTTTACTCATTTTTACATGGGTCAAAATGTACATGCGATACTGCTCTGTACGAAATTTCAAGAAATTTTTATTTCGAATACGTATTTTCTATCCAAATTTGTTACTAAACAATTCAATCGGTCTCTTTTTTCGAATCACTAAAAAAAAACCTTTCAAAGAAAGGAGGAAGAACTGAAACCGGAAATTCGAGTATCTCTCAGCCGAACGCCGAATCTGAAAATTAAAAATATCCGACTCAAAAAAGGAAACAACAACATAGAGAAAAATCGATATTTCAGAAAAAAGCAATTTTCAAGAAAACTACTCAATCAAGCTGTTCAAAATGAGCTCATCGAAACTATCCGCATTTTACAGAAAGAAAGTCGTTAATGAACGATAAAAAGGCCATTAAAATGTATGTAAACGTGTACGGTAGCCGTTTGAGGCGGGTCGTCAAACCGTTTATTGCTAATTCTATCTCGATAAGGAGTTTACAGCCTGGGACCGTGATGGACATCATTGAAACTTTATTAATTAGTTAAATCCTTCATTAAATAGATAATTAATTAAGAAGTGAGTCGGTATACTGAAAAATTGTGGAGTTTGAAAAGATTATGACAAAAGCCCTAACTTTTTTTTCCCTATTGGAATGAGTTCCGGTCATCCCCGAAATTCGGAGACATTCAGAAGGACATTTCCTATATTTTTCTGACTTGGTCGCAGTTAGAATGACAAAGTGTTGCGGTTGAAAATCAACTTTCTCTCAGCCGAAAAATTGCTCTAGCGCAAGCCGTTTCCAGTCGGGTGCAAGTCGATGCATTTTTCTAGTCTTTACCGAAATTAAGAGGTTTTCAGAACGAAACGAAAATTGGTCGCAATCGGAAGGGCTCAGAGAATCACGGTTCAAAATCGACTTTCTCTTGGCCTAAAAAGTGCTCTAGCGCAAGTCGTTTCCAGTCGGGTGCAAGGTGAAACATTTTCCTGGTCGTTCCCGAAACTCAGAGCTTTTAGAATGGAGTGAGATTTGGTCGCTATTGGAATGGTTCAAAGAATCACGGTTCAAAATCGACTTTCTCTTGGCCTAAAAAGTGCTCTAGCGCTAGTCGTTTCCAGTCGGGTGCAAGTCGAGAATTTTTCTTGGTCAGCCTCCGAAAAATAAAGGTCTTCAGGGTTCCCTATGTCTTTTTTCCAACTTGGTCGCTATTGGAATGGTTCAGAACGTCGCGGTTCAAAATCGACTTTCTCCTGTGCTAAAAAGTGCTCCAGCGCAAGTCGTTTCCAGTCCGGTGCAAGGTGATACATTTCCCTGGTCGTTCCCGAAATTCAGAGCTTTTAGAATGAGATGAAAATTGGTCGCAATCGGAAGGGCTCAGAGAATTAAGGTACAAAATCGACTTTCTCCTGTGCTAAAAAGTGCTCTAGCGCAAGTCGTTTCCAGTCGGGTGCAAGTCGATGCCTTTTTCGATCAGCTTCT